AGGCAGACACCCTGTCTACTTTTAAGACTAGGCCTAAAACTTTCCTTTTTGATAAAGCTTATAGTTAGAGTGGCTCAGGTTATCCTGAGCAATCTCTATAGTTATGCTGCTATAGGACCCCTATTTCATAATTCTGCTTCATTCAATCTCTATTCTCCCACTCTGCAGATTCTTTTAGTTCAATCTCTAACGTTATGCTCTCTCTGGTTTTTCTCATAGTAGCTTTGCCTCATCTGTTCCTGTTTAGCTGTGTCTCCATCCGGGAGAGAAATATCAGCTGTGCTGCTGCCATCCACGCCGTTGTTTATAGATGCTGGAGATCGGCCTGTTTTCCAGTGTAGTCCTGTTTCTCTGACTGTAACTAACTGGATGTGCTCTCTTCATCCTCTGACATGGGAGCTGGCTCGGAGCTTGTATGCCTGGCTGTGTGCTTCCTGGACGGGGCCGCCTTTTACAGCTGCTTTTTGTATCTCTGCTTTTGTCTCCTTGAACCCCAGTCGGTCTCAGCAGATGGCCGCTCACACTGAGCCTGGTTCTGCTGGAGGTTTCTCCCTGTTCAAAGGGAGTTTTTCCTCTCCACTGTCGCTACAAACATGCTTAGTGTGAGGGATTGTATTTGAGTCAATGAGTCGATGCAATCAACTGGTTTTCTTTATATGGAGGACTTTGAATCGATTTGACTATATGATCTGGTTTAACTGCAAAGTGCCTTGAGATGACATGTGTTGAGAATTGGCGCTATATAAATAACTGAATTGAATTTAATTGAATTGAATTAAAGCAGCCTTTATGAGCCTTGATGCAGAAAAGGCTTTTGATCGATTAAACTGGGATTTCTTATATCTAACGTTTGGTCTTACTAATGATGCTATTCACTGTATTAGAGCAATCTATGATAAACCAACCGCAAGAATACAAGTGAATGGCTCCCTAACAGATCCGTTTGAACTCAGTAGAGGCTGTAGACAGGGCTGTGGACTAAGCCCCACCCTTTTCGCTTTATACATTGAGCCATTGGCTCAGGTGATTTGGCAGAAAGATGATTTAAAAGATAGAAGAAGAAGAAATTATGATAAATGAAAGAGAACAAAAGATTGGATTATTTGCGGACGATATATTGCTGTTTCTAGAAGATATTAACACTACCCTTCCCAAACTGGTTGATCTTATTAATAATTATAAAGTACATGCTGGATACAAGTTGAATATTTCTAAAACCCAAATACTACTTTCAACCATGCCCCCTCAAACGAAACTGCACATACTGTACATATGATATAAAATGGAACGCAACAAAATTAAATACATAGTATTTCTGTCTAAAGACACTTCTTAACTATATAATTTTAGCTACAATCCCATAAACCAAAATATTAGAAAAGACATACAGAGAGGGTCTACTTACCCACTGGATTTAACTGATAGAATACATGTAGTTAAAATGAACATCCTCCCAAGGCTGCTTTACTTATTTCAATCCCTCCCAATCAATATACCACAGAAACAATTCACAGAGTGGGATAAACTGTTAGCAAGGTTTATTTGGGATGGAGGGAGGGCTAGGGCATGGCCCTTCCTAATCTAAAAAATTATTTATTTGCAGCTCAACTGCGTTACTTGTCTTGCTGGTGTGATCCTGGATATTTTGCTAGATGGAAAGAGATTGAGACATGCATCCCTGGATACAATATTCAGACACAGACGGGAGAGAACACTATACCAACCAATTTAATAAAGTTACTTGACCCAATTGCTCATTTCACTATGGAAATTTGGTTTAATGTAGAAAGACAATTAAAGCTGAAGAAAGAAAGAAAAATATTAAGATGAGTAGGCCATGACAAAGACTTCAGGCCAGGAAGACATGGCCCAAAATGTAAATATTGGATAAATAGAGGGCTTACAGCCTTTTGTAATTTAATTAATAACGGGGAAATGAGGAGTTTTCAATATCTTAAAGACAAATTCAGACTTGATAATAGAGATTTCTTTCAATACCTACAACTAAGAGAATATTATAATAAAGAAATCAAAGATGGAAGTGATCCTAATGCAGTTCTGGAGACATTGTGTGGTGCATATCAACATAAAACTCGAAAAATTATCTCACAGCTGTACACTAGCCTATTGTCATGTCAAAAAAATACAACTCTGTATGTGAAAGAAAAGTGGGAAAAAGAAACAATGGTCACAATTTCAAATGAAGAGTGGTATGAAATCTGTGAGTTGTCTCAGACTTCTACAAATTCACTAAAATGGAGGGAATTCAACTGGAAAAATGTCATTTGTTTTTGTATCACGCCATCTATTAAAAGTAAACAACTGTCTCCCCAACAAATGTGTTGGAGGCAATGTGGCACTGCTGGCGCCAACCATGTGCATGTTTTCTGGAACTGCATTGAGATAAAGATTCTATCCACCTTACTCTGTTCAAAGTACTGTTGTATTCTGTTCCATTTACTTTTACCGCAATGTATCTTGGCCTTATGTCTAATGTGAAAAAAGATGATCAGTATTTGGTTAAGATATTACTGTCAGCGTGGAGGAAAGCCATAACAAGAAAATGGCTCAGACCAGAGCCACCCAACCGTACTCAGTGGATGGACATTGTGGAGGAAATATTCACTATATAAAGAATGACTTTCATTTTAAGACTGAAAAAAGCTCAATTCAAAGAAAAATGGGAGAAATAGATAACATATAAATTAGCCTCGGAAACGGACTGACTTTTGTAACACGACAACCGGATGCTGTCTTTGGTTAAAGTGTTCATTTTGTTTTGTACCTTGCTGATGCTCAGAGGGCTGATATCAGTGCATTGTTTCTTTTATTGTCAAAAACAATAAAGATAAAAGTAGGGGAAAAAATTACTTGCTTCATATGTCTACTACAACTTTGAATAAAATAACATACCCTGAGGATCATCATAGTTAAACCACAGGCCTTTGATCAAAAAACATTTGCAGACGTCACGCACATTACACTGTTGGGAGGGGGCCGAAGACCTGCCGTTTGGCATAGCCAAGGCATGAGTGCATTGTTTTTTTTTGTTCTGTTCCTTGGCTTTTCAGTTGATACTCATTAGGCACCCAAAGAGGCAGATGAATGAAATGGTCAAGACAATTATTTAAAAGCACCTTCTGGCATCTCAAATGTTTCATCATGCACACTGCAGCGACTATATCAATTTATAAGAAGGCATGAAAATTGTTTAAGGTAGCTGGGGGTAAATCTAAATCAATGTGAGATGTTAGCTATGATCCAACACTAATGAATGAACTCTAATCTTGCCTACCGGTATGTTAAAAGCACATGGCTTTAAATTCTGAGAAATTGTGAAAAAAAAGGCAACTTTCTTTGCTATTTTTCACCTTTGAGGGGTAACAAATAAAAAACTTACGGGCAGACACATGTAAAGTTAGACAGTTTTGAAAGCCCTGGATGTTTTCTATCAAACTAAACTAGGAGAAACAAATATGGTGCAATATTTTTTCTATGCCCCCCTGATGTAAAGATAACCCCAAAAATGCCAAATGTACATGGGCTGGTGGAATGACCCATATGCATAAAACAGCAATCCTTTATCAGAGGAAGTAACAAACTGGAAGGAGCTTTCTTTGTTAATGATACACAGAAACCATTGCTACCTCAGGAGGGGAAAGCAATAGTCAGAGCAGGGAGCTGCTGACCTTGACTAAGGACACTGCCAACCAGTTCACATGTCTTGCAGACCTGGAGAATTTCTCCCTCATGTCGATGTGTGTAGGGAGCTCTAGGATTAGGAGTTGGGGGCTCTAATAGGGACCACCCTTTTGTTGGACTTCAGCAGGATTACCCTCTGTCATCAGTCCTGTTCATAACTTTTATGCACAACAATTCTAGGTGCAGCCAAGGACTGGAGGGACTCTGGTTTTGGGAACATAATATGTCATCCCTGCCTTTTGTGGATGATGGGATTATGCTGGCTCCCTCTTGGCTCCCTCTTGCCAAGACCAACAGAACCCACTCCTAGCTAAGTGCAAAGCGGCCAGGATGAAGACCAAGCCCTCCGAATCAGAGGCCTTGCTTCTGTTCGGTCAGAGGAAAATTCCTGCCTAAAGTGGAGGACTTCAAGTATCTTGAGGTTCTTACATGATTTTTACAAATTTCCCTTAACTTAATTAAAAGAAAAAGGTCCATACAATCAACAGCTATGCCTTGTTGGTAATCAAATACCCTGACAGGGTAATAAGTTAGGGAGGAGGAAATTCAGGCCACGGGTGTTAACACACTAACTCTACTTAACATTCATAGTGAATTACACTCCAAAATCTAGTATCCAAAAAGAATACATCTGAAGATGGCTCCAAGGGATGAAGTGTTCACTAAATGTCAGTGGAATATGGAAATAAAGGAAGTGGAGGAATCATCATGGGAGTAAAAAACCCCTGCATGGCATGTACCACGACAGATAGCTCGTCTGCCTAGATGTGTGCCTGGCTGTGGAGCTGGTTGACAGTTGCCTTTCGTATCTCTGCCTCTTTTTCTATGTCTGCTAAACCCCGGTCGGCCTCAGCAGATGGCCGCTCACACTGCATCTGGTTCTGCTGGAGGTTTCTTCCTGTTAAAAGGGAGTTTTTCCTCTCCATTGTCACTACAAGCACGCTTAGTATGAGGGATTGCTTTCCAGGTCAATGAGTCAATGCAATCAGCTGGTTTTCCTCAGATAGAAAACTTTGAATCAATCTGACTGGATGATCTGGTTAACTGTAAAGTGCCTTGAGATGACATGTGCTTTAAATTGGCACTATAAAAATAAACTCAATTGAGTTAATTGTCTTCAAAACATTGGACCAAATGCTATAACTGAACAACAAGCAGAAAAACTACTGCTGGGTTCATCACTTCAAAATGAAAGTTATACACACATGCTAAAGCAGATTTTTTAAAGCAACTCTACTTTTGAAATGTGACCAATGCTTTTCTACTTTTAGATGAGGACGCAAAAGATAGAGACTTACCATATATGCTTTGACTTGTCTATTACTCTCTCTCATCTTATTTTGGAGTTTCAGCATTTCCTCGTTTGCACTTTTTACATCTTCAGCGGATTTTTCAATGTTAGCTTTAAGTTTTTCTGTTGTTAAAACTACAGTTATTATATCTTTCACATTTTTCTCATTCTTTTGTCTTTGTTGATCCAGTTTCTTCTTCAGAATTTCCAACTCATCACCTTCTCTAGTAATTTTCTCCAGCTTCATGTCAAGCTGTTTTCTCCTCTTCTGGGCCTGAAAACCCATCCATTTTGTTTGGGTCTTTTCTTCATTAAAGTGATTTCTGCAATTTAATGTTTCTTCTCTAAACACATGCAACATTTCTCTGATTTCTTCTGGTGTTACTTCCTGCTGGTTGGACCTCATTCTTGTCTTCAAATATTGGTTTCTTCTTCTCTCTCTTTGTGTATGTCTCCAAAGTTGTCTCTCATCTTTAACTACTTGGTGTTGCTTTTGTTCTTCCATATTGTCCCTTTTTAGATTTAACATTGAATTCTTGTCATTTAACAGTAGTCAGTTTTTAATTTCCTTCATGCTCCTTTGTTGTTGAACTGTGAAGGGAACAAAACATTGATGAGAAAGCACACTGCTGCAAATAATCAGATAAGCTTTTTTTACATGACAACTTTGATTCAGGATTGTACAACAATATGCATATTTAGTCAATGTATCTTTCCTATTAGCTACAAATTACTAACGGTAAACTAGTAAATTATGAGATCAACATAGAGGTGCTACAAAAATCTCATAGTTTCTTCTTCTTTTCAAAGAATAAAGATCAACACAGCCCAATCAGAATTGTAACTGGGACTTCAGTTGAACCATAAACAAAAAAATTAGATGCTGTTGTGGAGAAATTTAAAGCTGGATTAAGATCCAAAAATATTTCCCAAGATTTAAACACCTGAATGAACACTGAGCAAGTGATAATATTTAGATAGAAGAAGTAACAGAACACTGCAGTTCTATGAAGACATGTCGTCCCTCTAAACTTTGACCTCAAACAAGGAGAAGACTGACCAGAGATGCAGCCACGAGGCCCGTAATCTCTCTGGATGAACTGCAGAGATCTAGAGCTGAGGTGACTGTCAATAGGACTGTCCATAGGACAAAAATCAGTCATATATTGCACACATCTTTCATTTCTGGAAGAAAGCAGTTCTGAAAGAGATCCATAAAAACATTTTGGCAACAATGCAAAACATCATATTTGGCGCAAAAGCAACAGCTCATCACCCTAAACACGCCATCCCCACTGTCAAAAGTGGTTGTGGCAGGATCATGGTTTGGGCCAGCTTTTCTAAGGCTGGGACAGGGAAGATGGTTTAAATTGATGTGAAAATGGATGGAGCCAAATGCAGGAAGAAAACCTGCTGGAAACTGCAATAGATCTGAGACTGGAACAGAGATTTATCCTCCAACAAGACAATGATCCAAAACAAAAAGCAACATCTACGACGGAATGGTTCATAGATAAACATATCTAGGTGTTAGAATGGCCTAGTCAAAGCCCAGACCTGAATCCAACCTTGAATCTGTGGAAAGAAATGAAAGCTGCTGTTCACAAATGCTCTCCATCCAACCCTCCAGCTATTTGCCATAACAATGGGCAAAAATATCAGTCTCTGATAGAGGAAATAATCCAAGAGACCCGCAGGAAAAGGTGGTGCTAGAACGTATTAACTCAAGGAATATTTTTAATAATTTTTTTGAATTTGTTGAATGTTGAATCATTTTTGCAAACCCCATATTTTAGTTTCATATTTGTTAAAGTTCAAAATATCAAATCAGTTTCACTCAATTTAAAAATGTGTCCCACTTGTTGATTCATCACAAAGAATTACAGTTTTACATCTATATGTCCGAAGCCTGTAATGTGTTAAAAGTTTAAAAACTTCAAGCAGGGTTAATAATTCCCCAAGGCACTGCACCTCCATTTGTTGCCAATAAATTGTTTATAAATTAGTGTAGCTGGACTGTAGAAATAATCTGCAAAAAACGTGGTTCTGTGAGAGGAGAGGTAAATGTGAATGGGGTGACGTTTGAAAAGTTAAGGGGTCAAAAATTAGGAGCAATATTTATGGTTAAGAGAAAAAAAGGGGGATATTTTTCCAAGTCATTTTTTTTACTATGTCATTTATTCATTTATAGAACTTTAATATTTAGATTGTCAGTTAAAACAGTTGTCAGCAAGCTAAATATTTATTTTCCAAAATAAATACTCAGTTGATAAATAAATATTTAGCTTAGTGCTAGCTAAATATTTATACAAAATACTTAACAAACTAAATATATTACTTGGAAATTAAATACTTACCTAGCACCAGGCTAATTAGTTATTTAACAAACTAAACTTTTATTTGCATATTTGATTCTCTTTGTTTGATTGAACCATCATATCACCCATCGTAAAATCATTCAAAGCTTTGTTAAACATGGATTTAAATGAATGTTTTATTTTTACCAACAAGTTGATTCTCTAATATAACATTATAATATAACATTAACATTCAGTATTAACATTTTTGAAGAAAACTAAGGATTAGGCTGTTGTAATTAATAAGTAATATAAAAATAGATATAAAAGCTAAATTATTTATTTGAAAACTGACATCACTTTTACACAGTTTTATTATCTTTTAAAGGGAAGGCTGTCTGATTTTTCTTTTATGAACACAAACATCTTGTTGTTTTTAAGTGGGCTAATTTCCTAACTAAATGAGCGAAGGGTAAAAATTACTTTACATTCAGCTACAATCCTATTTATGCTAAAGCACATGTCTGCACTTGGGGAAATGTGTCATTTACATATAGTATAAATAGGTAGCAGCAAATTAAAACATTCTTAAGCTAATTCTTAAAGCCTCTATTAAATGTATCTTATAATCTTGGACAGCGTTTGATCCATATTGATTTAGTAATATCTGCCCTCTCAAAAAGTGTTTCATAGGTGTCAGAGTATGAGGACTCAGCATTTCCAGTAAAACCATGCAAGCAGGTTACAAATTCAAAACAGATGCCATAAGAAACAGATTTCTGTAAAAATAATAACAAATTAAAATCTGTAAAGAATCAGAGGGTATTGAGTGACATTAGCATTATTTATCATACTCACATTTTATCATCTTAATTTATGGAACATCACCAAATTAATGCAGCAGGTCATCTGTCAGCTGTGTGCTAGCCAGCTTTTAAAGTATCTCTGTTGATTTAGCTTGCTGTTTTCTGTTTAAAACCCTGTAGGCCTATGGATGCTATTGGTTGTTTCCAAACTGAAATGTCATGCTTAACCAGTCTGGGGTTTACTGATAAGGACTGTGTTCATGTTTGGCTTTCCTGGGTTGTCCTGATTGTGAATAAGCACACGCCTTTTTCATGATTATTCAGACTCTTACTCTAACTCTAACATTTATAAAAATATCTAACCCTAGAGCTAAACTAAACTCAATTCCAGAGGTTTCAAGTAACAAGGTCCAAATACTTTACCTTACTGAAGTAGGATTTTTGGCCATACTGATCTGCTTACATTTTTTTTTTTGCAATTATCTCTACTTTCTACTCCTTACATTTTAAAAATAGACTCGTTAGTTTTGTTTCATTTAAACTCATTTTCATTATTTCATTATGGCCTGTTGGTAACTTGTTGTTCACCACATACCAAAATAAACAGTTTTTCAAGATAATGCAAAGTTCAATTTGGCACCGTTGCCATTATATACCAAACCAAAAAAATAAAAAATAAAGCCCAAAGAAGTTAGCATCCAGAATTGAAGAAAAATGTTACTTAATTAATATTTCAGTGCAGTAAAGCTTCTGTTCTTAACATTTCTTCCTGCACTACTTTTTTATTTTAACTACTTTTACGCTTTTACTGCAGTAAAAAGCTTAAATTGATGTTCCAACTTCTACAAAAAGTGTTTGTAAAACAGTAGGATTTCTACTTCTACTTGAGTAATAAACATTATTACTTTTGACACCTCCGCTCAATTCACACCTTATTTCTGAACTTAACCCAAAACCTAACAAGAGAACCTTTCTTCATGGTTGAATAACTCTCGAATATTGGGCCATACATGTCCTTCTATACACACACACACACACACACACACACACACACACACACACACACACACACACACACACACACACACACACACAATCATGTTTCTGTATCCTTGAGGGGGTTTATATTGGCTTCCATTCATTTTTTAACCCATTGCTATAGCCTAACCATGACTCTTACCCTAACCCTAACCATTACGGGTTTATAAAATAGCATTTTACACATGGGGACCAGGCATTGGTCGACATGATGTGCTATGGTTAATGGAAATTGGTTTCCAGAAATATAACCATGCACTGCTGTATTGTTGCTGGATTGTTGTGAGATCTGAGTGTTCAGTCTCACAGCAAATCCATCTTGAAAGACTCCTGCTAATATGTCATTGTCATATAAAAATAATACATCTGCTCTTCCTCTTCAGCAGGCATCTGCTCATCGGTCTGCTCTGCAACACCTTTGTGTTCGGCTCCAGGAACTCTCTATGTGGCTTCTGCCACATGATGTGGAAAATCATCTGGCTGAATTCCGCTCCTTCCTCTAGGCTCAGACTGAACTTCACATCCAGGTTAATGACTCACATGCTCGCTATCGTTCCTGAGCTATTTAGTCACTCACCTGTGTTTCCGTTAATAGAGATTCCACCCATATAGTCCTAGCTGACTAGATGCAGAACTTCGAGCAATTAATAAACACTTTTTGATAAATTTTTTCAATTTGTCTGCCTGAATTCTGGGTCCAACATTCTGAGTCCTGACATCTGGAAGATGATCACAGGAAGCTGAAGTAGCCCTGCAAGAGGACATCAGGGCAATTCAACTTAAAAAAGGTATCCCATCTGCTGTTGTATATCAAGTTGTGATCTAACAGGACGAGTAAAGATAAAAGGCCATTATCTGAGGGCCATAAGAATGTCATTACTGACTTTAATGCTATAAAGCAAATGTTACGGGGGAGTGGTGGCCTAGAGGTTAGGGCACCGATGTGGGGATAACTCTAACATGACAGCCTAAGTTAAATAAAAAATAAAGGCTAGGTTCATGTCTTAAGTCCGTTGATTTGATGTTTGGGCTACCTTACATAGCAGGGCAATATGGATCAAAGTCAGATTAGGGTTTGGCATGAAGAAAACTGATGTTAAATTTAGAATTATGTTTTGAATTACTAACCTGATAGGACATTTTTTTTTAAGTTTTCTTCTCCACAAATTAGTTATTTTGTAATAATAATAATAATATTTCTTTGTATTTCTTTGTCTTTAAAATACCATTATCTGCCTATTAAAACTTTCTGATTACATAATTTCGACTGATTTACTTTATGTATCTTACAGTTTAAATAGTCAAAGAAAAGAACTTCCCAAAGGAAGAAAAAAGTGCATGGGATATATACAGTATATACAGTGCGTCCATATATGACAGTTTTTATTTTAATAGTAGGATCATTATACCAGGTTATTGCACAGGATATTGTATTTATATGGATGGATATTTATATTTATATATAGATAGTTATTGTGCTGGGCGTCAAATATAGAAAAACAGTTATTGCACAGGGTATCCGGTACAGGGTGTCAGGTATTTCCAGACAGATTTAATGTTATTATCCAATGATTATTCAGTATTCAAATACTTTTAACTTGACTTTTTAACAAATTTATTATTTAGTAATTTCTTGAATTACTACTTTTTACTTTAAATTGAGTTTAAAAAAAAATGCTATTCTTATTTGGGTACAATTTTTGGGTACTCTAGCCACCTCTTCAACTATTCTTTACTTTGGCAATTGGCAGAGCACATTCACAAAGATGTATCAGGCTTTAAAGTGGGTGATATGGACCACTGTATAGCACCATGTTCGGTTGACATGGTCACTTTACAGAGACAATCCAGAACTCACATGTACGAGTTCCAAATCTATGTGACTATGTCTCCTGGTATTAAAAAGTTGATTTATTATCTGCTGATTCTTGACATTTCTCTATTGATGAAGAGCTTCCCTCAGCTGATTCCAGGGTTCTCGACTAGGTATTTTCCATCAACACAGTTCAGAGCCCGACACGGATACCAAACAGGTGCCCATTGAACTTAGGCAGCACAGAATACCTGTTTCTTTTGGTGCAAAACTGATGTATCAACTGTGGACAGGTCAAAGCTAGAACTAGAAGGTGGTAGGGGAAGCATACCGTCAATGGGTCGGGTTTGGTCGCTCCGTCCCCAGCTGGCTCCCTTGCCCCGTCCGGTCCAGTCATCAACCCCACCTCCAAGGCCAGAACCTACAGACCAGAACCAAATAAGGCAACATCCCCGGGTTGACGTCCATTCGGGGCTGTTTGGATACGCCGTTTCATGGTGGAAGTTTGGAATTGTGAGATTCGCAGAGAAAGGGGGTGTCAATGGGGTTTGAACTTCTCCGTACATCTATTTCACCCACTGAACTATCGTTATTCATCTATGACAATATAAACTCTGTTTTGCATTCTATGACCCCTTTAACAATATGCATTATAGACATGTTATATATGTATGCATGTATATGTATACATCTATAATGGTTTTTGTGTTTCTTTTCTTCCTCTACCACAGTAATGGAGGGCAAAGTGGGTAATAAATGGAATGACTTATAAGTGGGTTTGATTTTATAAGTTGAATAACCAGAGGATAGCTGGAACCATAAAAACATTTAATGTATTTGCAATAAGTAAATAAATATTTGCAGTTTTTTCTGCAAATATTTATTGGGGGGGTGAGGGGTCATACATGATGTTACGGGCTCGGGACACGCAGCGCTGGGATGAAATGTCTTTAATGGGGGGAAAAGGAGCCCCCATGATCCTCTCTGCTGTTCTCACCTTCTTCCAGTCTGAGGCGCTGCAGCCTCCACACCACACAGTGAGACAGCTGCTCAGAACGCTCTCTATGGTGCTTCTGGAGAGGGTGTGGAGGATGGGTGGGGGCAGGTCGGCTCTCCTCATCCTCCTCAGGAAGTACAGTGCGCTTTTGTGCCCTTTTGATCAGTATGGTGGTGTTTACAGTCCAGGTGAGGTTGCCTGTGCTGTGCACCCACATTTTCAATGGCTTTACAAACTTGCATTATAATTTTTTCTGCCACAGTGTGGGACTTTTTTTGATTTAGCTACAATTTCAGCAAAAACATAGCTAGATTTGAGGGGTCTCTCGTTTACCTCTGGTTTTTCCCCCAAACAGTTGCCTGTTTCTCATTGTTTTCAAGTAATCATACAAAATAGTCCATTGGCTTGTTTTGAATAGAGGGGATGTTTTATTTGGAGATGGAATTTAAGCTTGCTTGGCACCATGGCCCTATTGGTTAGCTTCTCACCACACAACAAGCACAGCAGAGTCGGTGCAGTTGCACCCCAGGTGAAAGTAAATCCAAAGGAAAGATAGCTTTTATTATAATATCTCTAAAAAGACAGCAAAACATATTTTTTAATTTTTCCAAATGACCGTTCTAAATGCACTAACCTGCACTAAAGAAGCAATAACCATTCAATCTATTTGCTGAGTTTTTTCATGTCAGTGGGATGTTAGCTTCACGCATCTGAAGCTCCTCCTATTTGATGGTGCGGTCCAGGATGTAAACACTGTTCATCTGAAATGCACAACAGTGGACTACCTGGGGGGCTCTCGGGATTAACAGCCTCTACCGCCAGCAGGATGAATACACCATTAGAGCAAGTATGTGTAGTGCAAATCAATATAAATTATATCTGAAAGGTTCTCCTTCAGTCTCCCGAAGGGCAACTTATCAGGCATATTGCAGATTAGGATTCTTCAAATCCAGGTGTTGATTGGCTTTTCGGATGTCTTTGCTGCCAAACACCTCACTCAATCTGATCATTTAATTTAGGTTGTTGAAGCAGATACATCTGAAAAAGGTGTTGAACACAATACAATTCATGTTTTCATATAGCGCCATTTCATATCTGATGTCATCTCAAGACACTTTACAAATACAATGCAACCAGATCATCCAGCCAGATTGGTTCTTTTTTTCTAAGAAAAAACAGCCGATTGCATTGAGTTATTGACTCTTCAGCAATGCCTCACACCAAGCATACTTATAGCGGCAGTGGAGAGGAAAACTCTCTTTTAAAAGAAAGAAACCTCCAGCAGAACCAGGCTCAGTGTGAGCGGCCATCTGCTGAGGCCGACTGGGGTTCAAGGAGACAGAAGCAGAGATAGAAAAAGAAGCAGAGATGCAAAAGGTAAATGTATCTCTATTGTAAGCTAAATTTAAATAATCTGAATCTTGTGTGTTAAAGCAGAGAAATAGGAAAAAAACCTTCAGAGCAGAATGCCTTGAAGGGCAAGGTTAAAAAACACCCCGGTAGTGTGTTCAAATATTATTGTTTAATTTACAAAAAAGACATCCAGGAGTACTTCGACCTTTCTCCCACCATGCCCGAGGATAGACAGGATAGAATGTTTTATTGGTGCTCTCTGTTAGGGCTCTTTTTGGTGACCATGGCGGCGCTCCAAGGCAGCGGCCAATAACAGCTCTTGACAAATTCATGAAATATGCGGCTTAAAACTATACAAACTCGACATTAAACCCGCATCTATGATCGAAAACGCCTGCTGGAGTAATGGTCAGAAAATGTTTTAAATCCAGACATTTTGACCGTTTAAAAAGCTACGGACGGATGTAAATAAAACAGCTGAACATAACGGCCAGAGGGACAGATCCGCGAGAAGGAGGAAGCGAGGCTGTATATGGGGGCTAACGACGAAGCTAAGGAGAAATTCCCACAGACCTCTGCTTCCATCAATCCTGCTGTCCAATGTCAGCAAACAAAATTGATCATCTCCAACTGGAACTCTCTTTAAAAAAGGAGATTGGTAACTGCTGAGCCATCATTCTGATGGAGTCTTGACTGCAATCCAGCAATACTGGATAATGCTATTAGACTGGGGGGGCTAACTCTATGCCATGCCCATAGGGGCAAAGAACTAAGCAGTAAGACTCGAAGTGGCGGGCTCTGTGTTTATGTAACCGGCCTCTGCGTTGTGTAATAATCTCTCGTTCAACCACTCCAAGTCAGCCAATAAACGGCGTGTTTATTCTGAAAAGAGTGAAACAAAACTGTTCAGCAGCAAATAAAAACATCCAGCCGACATCAAGCCACCTTCCTCCATTGCAGTAACGAACATTGTGAGGCTCATTACATATTTAACATCAGATATTATTAGAAATAACCTCATTAAATATTTTAAATGAGGACCAAAGAGATAAAAAAAAATTACAAAACACATCACGAACAAACCTCCACGATGAATATCTAACATGGATAAAAATGTGTTCATTTTGAAAACAAAAATAAATATATATATAACAAAACTCCAGAACAGACCAAGAAAGTTAAGTCAATAATAAAAAAAAGAAATAAAAAAGAAATAACATACCTGAAAAGAGTGAAACAAAACTGTTCAGCAGCAAATAAAAACATCCAGCCGACATCAAGCCACCTGCCCATGACAAAAGGAGCACATAAAAAAAAATAGCATTGCGCAGGCAAAAACAGTCAGCTTGTTCACAGAAATGCTGCCACAGTAAAAAAACGTTTCACTCGATAAAAATCGTTCCATGTTTAACTAAACAACTCACGAACATGTTAGCTTAAACACAACTAAACATTTTTTCCTATTACATTAATTAAACAAAAGAAATTGACAAAACCTTCATGAAAACTCACCTTCCTCCATTGCAGTAACGAACATTGTGAGGAAGGAGGAAGTGATGTCACAGGTTATACCCGCCAAAGTAAAATTAAACTTTCCCCTATTATACAGATTATCGTTCCTTAAAGTAATAATTTCAAAGTAAAACCAAAATTAAATACATTAATAAAAATATAAAATGAAGGAATTTTGGTGGAATGAATTTTTTTTCTTCCATGTTACATTCACCCTCCCTGAATGACACCAAAATCCTGATTGCTCAACAAAATAACTCATCCCATAACACGAAAACCAACACCTGGACAAAAGCAGGATGGTATTATTCCAAAGAATACAATCTTTATAATCAACTGTAGAAGCTACCTGTTAACACAGGCCCAAAGAAATTTAAGGGTGATCAAACCTCAAACTCTCATGGATCAGTATGGTGCCGAATACACCAAACCACCCATCTACTTATGTCCTGTTCGTTCATATAACCATAATAATAGACATCTCACAAAACGAACAACCAGGAAAGAAAATAAGCAAAGAGAAGGAAAAAAAAAAATAATACCCTTACTAAAACAAGGAGAGTAGAGACTGTGATGTTCTGCGAACTGAGCCAGTAAACTGCCTGATACCAAATGGCTTCTGAGCCATGGACTCTATCAAGCGGTCAACCTTTTTAACAACCCTACCAACTCGTGTTCTAACCACACCTGAGCTATCAGCTCTTTTAATGGCCTCACTAGTTGAATCCTGACCCCCCTCAGCTGTGTCCATGGTTTCTTTAGGTCCATCCATTAAGCTGCCTGCTGTTTGGGTTACATTTAGGCCATCACACTCCTTGAGGTCAAAAGTCTCAACCTCAGATTCATGTATATCCAAAGATTCATGACCTAAGACCAATGACTCTACACTGTCCTCTTCTGTCTGTTTATTGCACAGCTCACTTTCATGTTCCTCAGGATCAAAAAGACTGGTAACCCTCGTTTCACTGGGTATCCTGGCTTTGGTTGTATCTCCTGGATCCTCTTCATCCATTGAGCCTAAAGCTTCTGCCATAGAACACTCGTCCTCAGTCTCATCAAAACTGCACATTGTCTCGTTCACAGAAGCATCTGCCGGCTCAACAGGCAAGAAGCTGACATCCAAAATGAGGTTCCGATGCACTACTTTTTCTTCCCCTTTCTCATCTTCAAGCTTGTAGATGTGTGTCTTGGGGTCCTTGTCTATGACTCTGTAGACTTTTGATTCCCACTTGTCGGCCAACTTCCTCTTTCCTCTCTCTCCTTTATTAGCAAGGAGGACTCTATCTCCTTTGTTCAGTTGAAATCCCTTGACCTTTTTGTTGTATTCCCTGGCCTGCTTATCCTGTTCCTTCATAGCATGTTTTGAAGCAATACATGCCGCCTCTTTTAAATGGGACATTAGTGTCTTGGCATAACTGCTATAATCAACCACTACTGGATCATGCAGAACCTGTTGAAAGATTACATCAACAGGTAATCTCGGGACACGGCCAAACATGAGAAAGAAAGGAGCATAACCAGTGGTCTCATGTATCGTTGCATTGTATGCAAGTGTCAATGCCTGTATCTGCTGGGGCCATTTGGCTTTTTCTCTGAGAGGTAGTGAACGGAGCATATTCCCCAAAGTCCTATTAAACCTCTCGGTCCCACCATTTCCCATTGGGTGATACGCAGTAGTATGCGACTTGGCTACACCAGACAGCTTGCATAACTCTGTGATAAGTTCACTCTCAAAGTTTGCCCCCTGATCAGTGTGAATCCTTTCTGGGAACCCATACACACAGAAGACATGGTCCCACAGCTTTCTTGCAACTTGTTTTGCTGTTTGGTTTGCACATGGGAAGGCATGAGCCAACTTTGTAAAGTGGTCTGTCACTACAAGAACATCTACAGATTGCTGTCGGTTGTTTTCTGCACTCCAAAAATCCAAACACACCAATTCCATTGGAGCAGATGTTCTGATGCTTTCAAGTGGTGCTCTGGCAGAAGGCTCTGGTGTCTTAGCCAGTATACATCTCTGACAACACTTTACATAATTTCTGATCTGATTTTCCATCTTTGGCCAGAAGAAGCGCTGTCTCGCCAGATAGATTGTCCTTGCCTGACCTTGATGGCCAGCTAAGTCATGCACCCCACACAAAGCTTTCACTTCCAGACTTTTTGGTAGAACAAATTGATATCTTCTTTGTTTACTTAAAGGATCTTTGATTACTCTGTAAAGGACCCCATCAAGAAGCTTGAGTCTGTCCCATTGTTTCATAAGAACAAGTGCTCCTGGATCGAATCCCTCTCTTTCTCTTCTGGATGGCCTCCTTTTCTTGCTCAAAAACGGCAGTATTTTAGAAATACTGAGGTCTTGTTCTTGGCTCCTTTGGAGTTCTTCTATAGAAATGGCAGGTAATGGATCAGATCCATTACATGAATCAGCAACCTGCTGAACAGTCTGGACAAATGAAACTGCCCTAGACTCTGTAGACACATTCCACTGGTCATGTGCATCAATGATTGCTTTTATAGCTGAATGACCTCTGGAATTAACTGAGTGAAGCTTAACAGCATTGACCTGTGATGCTCCTCCTACACAATGACACTGAACTTTAAGACGGAAGACATCTTGAATCCCTTGTTCACCAACTCCTTTAGACTCAACAAGTAAATCGTCATAACATTCAGTAATGAGCCTATGACCAACTGTTTTGGCAAATGGATCTCTGCTGAGAGCATCTGCCACAACATTTTTGGTGCCCGCAATATGCTTTAAGTCGAATGTGTATGGGGCAAGTTTAGCAACCCATCGCTGCTCGCAAGCATCCAGCTTTGGCTTCGTCATAATATGTGTTAAGGGATTGTTATCCGTCCATACTGTGAAAGTGTTGCCCTTTAGCCAATGGCTAAATTTCTCGCAAACACTCCACTTTAAAGCCAGAAATTCAAGTCGGTGGGCTGGATATCGTCTCTGAGATCCACTGAGTGTCTTACTTGCGAAAGCTATGGGTCTGGCTTTGCTTTCACCCTCTGGTATCTGTGACAACACAGCACCCAAACCATCTAGAGAAGCATCGATGGACAAGATTAAAGGACGTGAAAAGTCGGGGTGAGCAAGAACCACACAATTCATCAGACTCTCTTTCAGCTTCTCAAAAGCTGTGTCACATTCCTGTGTCCAGTCATCTGGTTTGAGCTTCCTATAGGTTCCTGCACTTGCTCTTGCCTTTCCTCTTCTTTTCTGTCCAGCAGTAAGAGAAAAGAGTGGTTTAGCCAAAGAAGAGCAATTGGGGAGGAAGTGTTGGTAATAGAATACCATCCCCAGAAAAGACTTAATCCGTCGAACAGAAGGTGTACATCCATCGTCCTCCATCAAATCGGACGTTGACATTTTGGATATCACCTCAACTTTTGAAGGATCCACAGCTACACCATTTCCATCAATCACATGACCCAGAAACTTCACAGAAGCTCGCATGAGATGACACTTTTTGGGACTCAACTTCAAGTTATGCTCTCGCAGCCGCTGAAAGACAACCTCCAATCTCTGCAAAGCCTCCTCCTCACTCGGTGCAAAAACAAGCAGGTCATCTAAGTAGCATAGCAAACTGCTGAAGTTCAAGTCACCAAATATGCTTAACATCATTCGCATGAAGGAAGCTGGACTATTGCAGAGCCCCTGTGGCATCCGGTTGTACTCATGCAAGCCCAGTGGTGTGGTAAACGCTGTATACTTTTTGTCCTCTTCGGCCATAGGGATATTGTAAAAACCGGATGTAAGATCCATTGTGCTAAAATAGATATTCCCTCCCACAGCAGCAAGGCAATCAGACTGGTGAGGAAGAGGATGAGCATCCTTGAGGGTTCTGGCATTCAACCACCGGAAGTCAGTGCAGATCCTGAGGTTTCCATCCTTTTTCCAAACCATCACCAATGGTGAAGCATACTCACTGACAGACTTTCGAATTATCCCTTTTTCCTCCATATCTGTCAGCACCTGCCGTAACTTTTGGTAATGAGCAGGGGGAACTCTCCGATAGGGCAAGCGAAATGGGCGATCATCCGTGAGCCGAATGCGATGGACGAAACCCTTAGCTTCACCACAGTCTAACGAATGTTTGGAAAAAACATCATTGTAGCGCTCAAGTAAACTGACTAGTCTCTCTTTCCCAGCGTTATCTGTGGTACAATTTCTTATGTCAACATCTGCCAGACCAACTTTTTGTAATCTTTGTTCAAGTTCTGAAAGGCTATCAGGCATCACAGATTTTTCTGAGATGGACTTTTCAATCTGTGTGGAACCCTGCAGAATCTCAAAATCTTCTACAGCCATACAAGGAGACACATCAGCGAGTTTACAGTTTTTCCTGAGGGTGATCGGCTTGTCAGACAGGTTTGTGACCTTCATAGGAACCCATCTGTCACCCCATAATGGTGTTATAACACGACCAACCATAACATTCCGTGGCATGGACTTTGACGTAGTAGGCTCAACAACAACTGTGCTTCCAGGGGACATAGGAGAGTTACTGGGTAGTTTTCCCCAAACAAGATGCTCCCTCTGTGCTGCAAGTGTGACAGATTGTCGCAGTGTGACAGTGCCGATTTTTTCTGGCTGTTCTTCCCCTCTCCAACGTGATGTACTAGCCATCAGGTCCAAGAACTGTTCACATTCAGGAGATGCTGTCGAACTGTCCCTGGAAATAAGACGCCAATAATCATCACTATCTTTTAACTGATGCATGAGGAACTTGATCACATTTGTGCCTATTATTAAATCATCTCTCTGACCTGGCACCACAAGTACTGGAACGAAGCAGTTCTGTCCATATATTTTAAACTCAACTTCATAGATACATTTAGGTTTAGTTATTTTCCCACCACACCCGACTAACACCACTTCTTGCGTCAAGGTTTTAGCTTCTGACAAAACATTCTCTCTAAGCATTCTTTCCTCTGCTTCTTCACTGAAGGTACATGTCATAGAACCTGAGTCTATCATCCCCCGCATCTGAAACTTTGAGTTCACAGTAACAGGTGCATAGAACAACTCATCATAAGGTTCTACCGTTTGTGTATTTTGCATAATCACCTTAGCATCAACTGATACTGCTTCACATGCATTGAAATAACACTGTACGAGTTCGCTCTCACCATTGAGGGTTTGTAAATCACTACCCACACGTCCCCTCCCCAAATGCGGGTTCTTCAGTTTAAATGCTGTTGCCCTCCAAGAGGACATGGGGTCTCAGTATTTTGTCTGACATCCTTGTTTGGGCAGTCCCTCTTGATGTGACCAGGTTTGAAACAGGATAAGCACAAGCGGTCTTGTCTGCAATGAGCCAAAGTTGAGTGTTCTGTGGACTGGCAAACCTTACAGAACTTTCTCTGCAACTGACCATGAGAGGGTTTTCTGAGCACAGTCTGGTTATTCTGAACAAGGGTACGGTCAAGCAGACTAATAAGAGTCCTTATACAGTTGTCATCTAAATGAGGACTGAGGTTGTCGTTCCCCTCAACCTGAGCAAGAGAAGAACCTGGAGAACTGAACGAAATTAGCTCCTCAGGAGCTTGAACATGTGAAGACAAACGCTTAACCAAGCTGGGACGATTTGGTTTTGCCTTCATCTCAATCTGATAGCGATCGACATGTTCCTGTATTTCTTTAGCTGTCCACTTGTCAGGTGCTTTAAATCGTAAGACTGCAGCAAGAGAGGGATCTGGACAATACTTGACAAACATCATCGTTACCTCGCGGCTAGGGTCATCAATATGTCGCCCTTGTCTGCTCAGAGCCTCCTCAGCTGCATCAATTGCCTTGTTGAGGCGGAGCCAGTACTCAACAGGGTTTTCTCCTATCTGAGGGACAGTGCCATAAAAGTCTGCAAGGGGCATACTTGAACTTGTTGTTTCACCAAAATGTTGCTTTAGTATGTCAATGATGACTTTTGGGTTGTCCTGAGCCTTTAGGGCTGGATTGCTACGGAGTGTAACCTTCACAATGTCTCTAGCTTTTCCCGTTAACTTATATAGGATCTCCTGATGCTGTTCTTCATGTGGTACACCTCTCTTTCTCAGGTATGTGTCCATAAGTTCCTCCCACTCATACACTGATAGCTTATCTGATGCATCTCCCCGAAAACTGGGGGGTTCTCTTACATCAGCTTGCATAACTAATCTTATGCCTGCCAGGTTATGAGTAAGGCTGTTGAAAGTCTGATCTGCACCTGAACTCTGAGCTTGTGCATCTCTATCCTCATTGGCCTTACTGTCCTCCTTTAACTGAGTAGATATAACCTGTCCAACTTGCTGTGCTATGTGTGTGATGAGATGGTTTAAAGCTGGATCACTTAGGTTTGGTATTGCTGATGGCTGATCAGTGATTTTAGGCGAAGTGGTTGGATGACTAGGTAACCGAGTAGAGCTGAAGGCTGGTGAACCAACACCGTTTTTATTTCTAGCAGGAGTATCACAAAGCTCCCTCAAAAACCTTCCTCTGCCTAGGCCTAGAGTATTTTCACTTGTTGTAGGAACATCTCCTTCTCCAAACTTATAAGCCATTTTAAATAAAAAGAAAACTTAACCCTATATTATAACAAAAACAAGTTCTTAAGTTCAATCAAACTTAGTTGAATTACACAGTACACCGGAGAAAAAAAAATGAAAACCCCTTTTTTTTTTTTTTAAGTCCTTTCAACTGTGTAACAGCGTGGCTTCGAAAACAGCTACTTTAACAGAACCTCTTGTGACGATCAGCAGCCCATCGGTGACCAAGCTGTTGTTGATCCAAGATGAATCCGGGTCACGGCACCAATGTAACCGGCCTCTGCGTTGTGTAATAATCTCTCGTTCAACCACTCCAAGTCAGCCAATAAACGGCGTGTTTATTCTGAAAAGAGTGAAACAAAACTGTTCAGCAGCAAATAAAAACATCCAGCCGACATCAAGCCACCTTCCTCCATTGCAGTAACGAACATTGTGAGGCTCATTACATATTTAACATCAGATATTATTAGAAATAACCTCATTAAATATTTTAAATGAGGACCAAAGAGATAAAAAAAAATTACAAAACACATCACGAACAAACCTCCACGATGAATATCTAACATGGATAAAAATGTGTTCATTTTGAAAACAAAAATAAATATATATATAACAAAACTCCAGAACAGACCAAGAAAGTTAAGTCAATAATAAAAAAAAGAAATAAAAAAGAAATAACATACCTGAAAAGAGTGAAACAAAACTGTTCAGCAGCAAATAAAAACATCCAGCCGACATCAAGCCACCTGCCCATGACAAAAGGAGCACATAAAAAAAAATAGCATTGCGCAGGCAAAAACAGTCAGCTTGTTCACAGAAATGCTGCCACAGTAAAAAAACGTTTCACTCGATAAAAATCGTTCCATGTTTAACTAAACAACTCACGAACATGTTAGCTTAAACACAACTAAACATTTTTTCCTATTACATTAATTAAACAAAAGAAATTGACAAAACCTTCATGAAAACTCACCTTCCTCCATTGCAGTAACGAACATTGTGAGGAAGGAGGAAGTGATGTCACAGGTTATACCCGCCAAAGTAAAATTAAACTTTCCCCTATTATACAGATTATCGTTCCTTAAAGTAATAATTTCAAAGTAAAACCAAAATTAAATACATTAATAAAAATATAAAATGAAGGAATTTTGGTGGAATGAATTTTTTTTCTTCCATGTTACATTTACATCAACAACAGCTGGTGCAAGAACGCTAGACCAGTCACCAGCTTCTGCTCTCCAGACATCGAGTTTCTGACTGTTAACTCCAGACCGTCTATCTGCCCAGAGAGTTCAGTGTGGTTAGCATCACTGCTATTTATGTACCTCCCAGCGCTAATACAAAAGAGGCCATGAACATGCAGACACAGAGGGTGTTTTCATCATTGGTGGGGATTTTAATCAGGCTAACTTGAAGACTGTGCTACCTCATTTTCACCAACATGTTCAGTTTACAACTCGGGGTGAAAACATTTTAGACCTGGTTTACTCTAACATCAAAGATGCATTCAGGGCAGCCCCCCTCCCCTGCCTGTATCATCAGATCAACACTTGGTAACGCTTAGCCATGCATATAAGCCCCAGCTGATCAGGGCTAAACTGACAGTTAAGAGGTCAGAGTGTGGTCTGAGGGCACCATGGAGAAACTCAAAGACTTGTTGAAAGCTCTAACTGGAACATCTTCAAGGCTGCAGCAACCGATGACAACTTATTAAATATTGATGAGTGTACCATGTTGTACTACATCAACAAATGCATTGAGGACGTCAGCATCGAAAAGAACATCACCACCCAGGCCAACCAACCACCCTGGATAAATGAAGAGGTTCGCAAATCGCTAAAAGTGAACTCAGCTTTTAAGTGTGGTGATAAAGAGGCACTAAGGAAAGCACGTATCAACTTAAACCGTGCTATCAGATCAGTGAAGCAGAACCACTGGCAGAAGATCCATGATCTTTTCCACAACGACAGAAACACCAGGAGGATGTGGAAAAGCATTCAAATGATCACCGACTACAACACACCCTCCCTCCCGGTAGATGTAGCAAACACTGACTTCCTAAGTGAACTGAATAACTTCTTTGGAAGGTTTGAGGCACTAAGCTGAAATAAGGAAAACTCCGAGGAGAGTCAATCCAAGGAAGGCCCCAGGGCCTGATAACATACCTGGAAGGGTGTATAAGGAGTGTGCAGATCAGCTGGCTGGTTTCCTCACAGACATTTTTAACACCTCACTGGACCAATCCATAGTGCCAGCATCAAGCTTCAAGTCTGCCACCATTATTCCAGTCCCAAAGAAGCTTCAGGTCACCTCACTAAATGATTACCGGCCTATCGCACTGACTCCAATCATGATGAAGTGCTTCCAAAGGCTGGTTAAAGAAGACATCATCTCCAATCTGCCTCCAGCATTCAACCCATTCCAGTACGCCAACCAACAGAACCACTCAGCAAAAGGATGGCCTCTCTGCTGCTCTCCACCTGAGCCTGGCACACCTGCAGGAGAAGAACACCCACGTGCGAATGCTGTTCCTGGACTTCAGTTCAGCTTTCAACACCATCATCTCACAGCATCTGATGGGCAAACTGGAACAGCTGGGCTTCAATACACCCCTCTGCTATTGGCTGCTAGACTTCCTCATCAACAGACCTCAGTCAGTCCGAGTCGGACAGAACACCTCTGATGTCATCAGTCTAAGCACAGGCTCCCCTCAGGGCTGCGTCCTGAGCCCCCTGCTGTTCACCCTTTTGACACATGACTGCGTCCCCAGGTTCACCACCAATCACATCGTGAAGTTTGCAGACATACCGCGGTGGTGAGCCTCATCAGAGACGACAACGAACTAGAGAGAAAACTACAGAGAAGAGGTGGTGCAGCTGGTGGACTGGTGCAGAGATAACAGCCTGATCCTGAACGTGAGATGAAGGAGATCATCTTGGACTTAAGGAAGAACCGTCCTAACCACGCTGCACTGGTCATCAACAGCTCAGCTGTAGAGGTAGTCAGCAGCACCAAATTCCTGGGGGTGAACATCACAGACACCCTCACCTGGACTGGAAACACCACCTCACTGATCAAAAGGGCACAAAAGCGCTTGGACTTGTTGCGGAGGATGAGGAGAGTCCACCTGGCCCCACCCATCCTCACCACCTTCTACAGAAGCACTATAGGGCAGCAAACAGTAACTGAATAGGAGGAGTATATGTAGGGGACAGAACAAAGAATGGACTACTCAGCTGATATGGAGCAGGTGTGGATAGAGGTAACTAAAAGGAGACTGGCAACAGAGGGTAACTTAAAAAATGCAACAAAGCTTAAATATAACACAAAACGGAAAAGAAACCAATGACTAACACAACAGCAGGACATAAATGAGTAATAACTCAAAAGGAAACTCAAAAAGAAGGGAGAACAATAACAATAGGATCACAAAGTAAAGAATCTTTGTGTTATTTCTGATCAAGGCCTGTCGTTTATATCCAATATAAAAGAGGTTTATAGAATTTACTTCTTTCAGCTCTGAAATATTGCAAAAATTAGAAACACGCTGTCCACGGGTGATGCTGAGTAACTATTCCACGCATTTGTTACTTCAAGTCTGGACTATTGTAATTCGTTGTTATCAGGAATTCCATAAACTGCAGTTAAAAGCCTTCAGCTGATCCAAAATGCTGCAGTTCTGTTGAAAATAAAAAAAAAGAGAGATCATATCTCTTTTTTTAAAACCCCTGTCTCCACTCTGGTGCAGTCTCGTAAGGACATAATTTACTATAAATAAATATATTAAATTGTAAAAGCTTCCTGGATGGGAAGCGAAACATTTTCAAACTTTTTTTTTTACGTATTTGAAATGTTTATAAGGTATAAACTACAATTGAACCTTCTATTCCAAAACGACCTGTGCAGAAGACTTTATAAATCAATTATTGTTTGTCATGGGAAAGAAGAACATAATTTTAGATAAACAGATCCTTTTGAGCCTGTTTTCAGCTCCTTTGAAGGCAGGATTTCATTTCTAATTTCTTAAGTGTCCTTAATTACACACTCATGTTCTATTTTGTAGTATGTTTATACTTCTATCATCCCTATACATAGTTGTTTGAAGCAAAGTACCCATTTGTATAGCTTTAAAAAAATTATCTGAAATAAAACCAACGTTGATGAAGCACATAATCAATAATAATATTAATAATAATAATAATATGAAGCACATAATCAGAGTTGGAGGTAAATGAAGAGAAGATTCAGGGCCTCAATCTTGTCTTCAGTACTTTGAAAGCACTGCCTCAAATTGAGGCAGTGCTTTCAAAGTTTTTCAGAATTTAAAATTAGGATTTAAACAATCCTAACCCTGCAACCTTCCAGAATCTATAGCAAATTGAGGTTTATTTTTAGAAAAGTCTGACTCTTCTTGTATGATGTTGATTGTATGCAATTCAATTCAAAATTCTATTCTAAACTACTTTATCAATCCCAAATGGAAAATAAACATTACAGTAACTCAATTTTTTTTTTTTTTTTACCTCAAATGTAGGTATGTATAGCTACAGGTGGGAAGGATCTTCTGTAGCAGGGTCGTCTTTCACCAGGGGCAGGGGGGATTTACCATTAGGCAATACAAGACAGTTGCCTAGGAACCCAAGTTCCTGGGTACCCCATAAAACTCTGTTTACATGTGTAGTTAATACAACTATTCCTTATTTGTGCACATTAATTTTTTTTTGTTGATAAAAAAGCTTTTGCTAAAATGTCATCAGAACACTTATAATATTGTGTGTTTCAGCCCCCCTTTTGGAAACACAGGAAGGAGCAATCAGCTAAGTGAGCTTAGTGCTTGGAAAAAATCTTTCATTCCTTTAGAGACAGCATGAAAAGTCAGCTGAGTACAAAACATAGAGAGGAAAACAAGAAGAAAAGGGACAAGAAGAGAGGGACAACATTTTCAATAAATACTGGATGTCTATTCTATTAAAATGTCTCTATCTGTATAATGGGACTGTTTTATACGTTGTCTTCTCAGTTCAGAGGGCTCCCTGCCTGTCTTTGCATAGGGCTCAAAATTTTCTAAATCCGCCCCTGACCAGGGGTAATGGCTATCTTGGAACATCATCTTCCTTGTCCTAGATGAGAGCAGTATCTGGATTAATGGAGCCATTTGGCTGAAATGAGCTTGTCAGTCTGAACATGGTACAACAGTTTTTCATCTAGTTTTTGAGAGCATTTATGGTTCCTCCCACACTGAGGCATCCATATCAACAGCTACCATAAAGCCTTTATCAGCACGCACACACACCCCACCCCAAGCTAGTTTTATAAATTTCAACATTTTAAGCACAAAGCTAATCTACAGAGGCTTTGGTCAATTGGCCATCACAGGTTTGGGTCCCGGCCTGGTGACCTTTGCTGCATGTCTTCCCCCTCTCTCCAAGTTTCTGTCGACTTACTTTAAAAAAAATATAATGGCTAATAGAGCCTAAAAATAACCTATAATACACATCTTAAAATATATAAGTTTAAGGTGTAAAAAGAAAAAACACATTTTTACACACACGTTCATAGTTTACTGCTCCCACTAATGGAATAAAGTAATGCAGGTGAACACATACCACACCTCCAAAGCCCTGGAAGTAGAGTCTCTATGGAAAAGTGCATGTGTATGGAAAAGCTACCAAGGCACATTTAAAGCCCCAGGCTTTTTAGTGGTAATGAAAAATGAGCTACTGTATACTTTGATAACGGCTAAGAGTGACATGAAGCACACAAGTATATGAGAAGAAGAGGACCTCAGAAAAAAGAAAAAAACTATTTGAATTTTAATTCAGTTTATTTACATAGCCCAAATTCACAACACGTCATCTCAAGGGACTTTACAATTCAGCCAGATCGTCCAGTCAAATTGATTCAAAGTTTTCTATCTAAGGAAAACCAGTTGATTGCATCGACTCATTGACTCGAAGACAACCCCTTACACCAGGCATGCTTGTAGTGACAGTGGAGAGGAAAATCAGGAAGAAACCTCCAGCAGAACCAGACTCAGTGTGAGCGGCCATCTGTCGAGGCCAACTGGGGTTCAAGGTGACATAAGCAGAGATACAGAAAGAAGCGGAGCTACAAAAGGCAACTGTAAACCAGCTCCACAGGCGGCCCTGTCCACGAAACGCACTGCCAGGCAGATGAGCTCTGAGCCAGCTCCTAAGTTCTGAGGATGAAGGGAGCACATTCAGCTAGTCACAGACAGAGAAACAGGTCACACTGAAAAATTAGGTCGATCTTGAACATCTGTAAACAAAGGTGTTGATGACAGCAGCTAAGCTAATAGGCCCACCACGTAGTTGTCCTCTAAAAGTGCCTGAGCAGAAAGGCGATTGGGTAACCGTACGCAAAAAGCGTAGTTGTGGATCTCTGCCCACTTGTCACCAGCAACTTTTTCACGTTTCTAACTCATTTTGCCTGCTCAGTGACGCAACCACTGAAAAGCCCACTCTGGTAATTGGCAGCTTCATAGTCAGAAACGTGGCCTTAGAGAAACATGGGAACATAGACAAATGTTTGCCGGGGCTTGAAACTAATGGCTAAGGATAAGGTTAAATACAGTAAGATAAGTTATTTACGCTGGCGGTAATGACACCCCGTTACACCGATCGGAGGTCACTAAAATTAGTGTTGCTTCGGTGCTTAAGTTTTTCAAAACAATGTCGAACTCCGTAATTTTCTCTGGTCCCCTCCCTGATCTGACCAGTGATGACATATTTAGCCGCATGCCATCATTCAACCGCTGGTTGTCTAGGTGGTTTCCTGAAAACAACGTGGGCTACATTAATAATTGGCAATCCTTTTGGGGAAAGCCTGGTCTGATTCGGAGAGACGGCATCCATCCCACTTTGGATGGTGCAGCTCTTCTTTCTAGGGATCTGGCCACATTTATTAGTCCTCCAAAACCCTGACCACCCAGGGTGCAGACCAGGAAGCAGAGTTGTAGTTTAACACACATCTCTGATGTTTCTCTACTGTTACCCACTCTTTACTCCATCCACAATGTGTCTTGCCCAAGGGCGTAGGTTTGATTTGAACTTTGGTAGGGACACTATTGGTCTGGTGTCATTGGTGCTATGCAATATGCATGCCCTTTTTTATGCTCGATGTGAGCATCCGTACTGATAAGAGGAATTCATTGTTAAAAGAGAAAAGCAACATTTTGCTCCATTAATAAAAATGTTATAAGCTCTACACTCATTAGATGCTGTTTATCAATGTTTGAAGTATCACCGGCTCTGATCAATGTGGAATTTGGACTGTTTTCCACTTTGAAAACGGTTTCATTTGAACGACTAAGAGAGAAAGTAAATACAGTATTTTCTTTTGAAGATATAGAATTGTGCAGAGTTAAGCCCCACTCTTATATTTGTACCTACTACTCTCTCTCTGTATCAAGCAAAATAATACATTCATTAAAATATTAACTTCACTATAAAAGTTGAACATCTGGGCTGTAGTTACTGTGTAGCCAATTTCATGTATTTCATCTGGGGCTAAAAAAATGAATCATATTAATTGATTATTTCAATAATCGTCAACTAATTTAGTGAGTGATTCATCATTAACTGGAGTATAGAGACTTTAAAACATACAGTAATATAAATGTAAAATGTGCCTTTCCCCACAGAGCAACCCACTTAGATAAAAGTCTCAAGAACCAGGGATATTAGATTTTTTATTTTTTTACTCAAAGCTGAATCCTTCTTAAAAGCAGCTCATCTGAGGTTCTTCTGTTATGGTGGTTTAGCTCACAATCTGAAGTGGGAATCGGATGCAGAACAGGTCTTTGTCGTCTTTATCTCTCAGCTCCCACTCCACAACACATTTGATAGAAGGATACTCGCTCTTTACTGGTAATGAAGCAAAATTGTAAAAATAAAAACAAAAAAATTAAAACAGTAATATCAACTAAATATCCGTAAAAAGGAAACCCTCACATTTTCTTTTTTAGTTGGCTGTGGCTAAGAATCAGAAATGTTGATGGCTTACAGCCTTCATTTGCCCATTTTTCCAGCAGTCTTCAGAACTCCTGGCTGACTCAGAATATTTCGTTTTATAAAAGAAAAAAAAAGGTTTTTGTTTTTTAGTGTACATGATATTCATTTTTTTTTATTGGGACTAGTTTTGTAGCCTAATATTAATTGTAGTAACCGCTGCATTCTAGTGTGAATAAATTTTCAATGTTGTGCTCCAAGCACACGCGGACTAGAAAACAGCCAATCAGAGAGAGAGAAGGCGGAACTTAAGGCAGAACAACCAATGAGAGTTGAGTTAAACAGCGCAGCACAGTTCCTTGAGCTGCTACGAAAGGGACAGGAGAGAGCAGGCAGAGGAGCTGCGAGAGGAAAAGAAGCCACTGCTGCAACAACTAGGCTACTGCTGTAAATTATAAACATGTTGCTCACATCCAATTATTGGTAGGGACAATTAGGTCGGTTAAAAATTTTGGTAGGGACATGTCCCTATGGTCCCTATGCAAACCTACGCCCATGGTCTTGCCCATGACCAAAATCTAATAATTAGAAAAGATTCCCAAAGGAGTAAAGAATGATAATCTAATTAATTGAGGAAAAATAATAAAATATGGTTTATTTAACATATTTCTTCAAAAAATCTGGTAGTTAATGACTACCTGACAGGGACATCATGGTGGGAGATTTTAACATCCATGTTGACACTGAAGGTGATAGCTTAAAGGAATAGTACACCCAAAACATGATTAGCCTTCATTTTCTACTCACCCCCATGCTGAACAACACTCTGGAGTACTTTTTTGATATCTCAAATGCATCTGGAGATCTGGGAGGCTTCTTGCTGTCTGCTGACATTCAAATAATGGAGGTCTATGGCGCCCGAGGCAGAAAGGTCCATAAAAGTCCACAAAAAACGTGTCAATATTCCTCCATACTGCTCGTCCAATGTATTCCAAGTGTCCTGAGTGGGTAGTGTCCATAATTTACTCGAAACGAAGTCATTTAGAATGTTTTTAGAGCATAAACAGTAGTGTATAGGATTTCCTAAAAGCGCGTTCATGAGTCTACGGAAACCGCGGCAGACCAAACCAGATGAAAGTGCGCATTCAGCTCGGCAAAGAACTCATGCTCTTCCTCAACACTGAAGTCCTCAGACATTTTTCTTTCGTTGTTTCTTTCTTTGCACAGGTAAACAGCACATTTCTTCTTCTACGCTTGCATTATCGGCAGAGCAGACGCTGAATGCGCACTTTCATCTGGTTTGGTCTGCCGGCTTCCGTAGACTCGTGAACGCGCAGGCGCGCGCTTTCAGGAAATCCTATACACTACTGTTTATGCTCTAAAAACATTCTAAATGACTTAGTTTCGAGTAAATTCTGGATGCTACCCACTCAGGACACTTGGAATACATTGGACGAGCAGTATGGAGGAATATTGACACGTTTTTTGTGGACTTTTATGGACCTTTCTGCCTCGGGCACCATAGACCTCCATTATTTGAATGTCAGCAGACAGCAAGAAGCCTCCCAGATCTCCAGATGCATTTGAGATATCAAAAAAGTACTCCAGAGTGTTGTTCAGCATGGGGGTGAGTAGAAAATGAAGGCTAATCATGTTTTGGGTGTACTATTCCTTTAAGTGCAGCCTTTAGTGCTATCTTAGGCACTACTGAATTGTCCCACACATTCTCATCTTCATACTTTGGACCTTGTGCTGACATATGGCTTAGATTGTGAAGAAATAACAGCTCCTCACAACCCTGTCCTCTCACCACTTTTTAACAAAATTAATAACCTTAACCTTTTTAATAACCTTCAGGATTATTTTTACAGTTCTCCTCCCCCAAAAGGTCTCACTTTAACAGATCATTACCAGATAGTGCAGTCAATCAAGTTGGCCTTTGAATCAATGAGTCGATGGTTTTCCTTAGATAGAAAACTTTGAATCAATTTGACTGGATGATCCGATTGAATCATCTTTGTTAAGTGCCATGACATGACATGTGTTGTGAATTGGCGCTATATAAATAAACTGAACTGAACTTTGACTCTGAAAAGTATTCAAGGATAATCCATAAAAAATAAAAGCAGGCAAGCTGATGCAAATGCAAAAAAAAAGGGTTTTCAACTAGTAGATACTACAGATTCAGCTGGTGCTCTTCCAGCTGCAGCAAAGGATGGTATTAAGAAAACCCATGTCTGCCGATGCTTAAGTGCAGCACCAGAGTACTGAATGGCTTACTGTTGATAGGAAAGTTGTGTGTATTGGGTCAGCATCAAGATAAAACATATACTGTTTGTGTCACTGATAGAGAAAAGAAACTTCAATTGAAGATTGGATTTTATTTTAGAAATAACTTATATTTCACATTTTTTGCAAAGTCAGTTGAAGCGACTCTCATCTCTAACCTACTAATTTAGAGACTTCAAAGAAAATGTATTGATTTAAAGCTTGGATCTTACATACTTTATATAAGGACAGGAATAATGCATTGTATTGGTAATATGTCCATGAAAACTTCAATTATGTAAATAAATATGACCTTAGGTTGTAATATGCAGCTTTTATGCTTGCCGGATTAGTGTAGAAATAAGGATACAGAAATAAATTATTTTATTTAATTCAACTAGAATATCAGAATCATAAATAAATCTTAAATCAATTTTCTCTTCACTTGATTTTATTTTAAAACTGTATTATTCCTGAAAAATAAAAACATTCAAACTGAAAGAAATCTTCAACGTGCATTTCATCACTCATATTCATTCACTAACTAATGTTGTCTTTGTTTTCTTTGGTCTTGCGTTTCTTTTCCTCTGGCGATGCTTTGAAGATGCTGGCTCTGTAGTACTGGAGCTCCTTAATGCTCTCCTTTATATCGTCTAAGGCTCTGAAAAAAAAGAGATTATGTAGAGCTTTAAAATGACAATGCTTTGGTACTGAATAACTATTATACAAATGTTGCCTTTTATGAGGAGGTAGGGAGGACCTTTTCTCTACCAGAGCTGTGCCAAACTTAAACATCTCTGATAACACACTTATGATGGGAATATTGGATGGAGTTTAGCGGATGATGTAGAGCAGGGTCACCAACGTGGTGCCCGCGGGCACCAAGGGTCCCTCCAGAACCGCATGAGGTGCCCTCAATATCTTCAGGAAAAAGATCAACTCACCAGTGGCTAAATTTGAAATTATATTTTATTCTGTTGCTCTTCTTTATCATGCATTTATAGAGCATTTAATCGTAATGATCATATAGAGCAGGAGTAACCAATTAAAAATCAGTGGGGTCTGAATAAAGAAAATCAACAACCAGTAAAGGTCTAATTATGATCTGTTACTTTAAACAGAATTTAAAATTAAAATAAAATGAGGTTTTTATGCATCCATGATATACATACAATATTTAAATAATATATATAAAAAAAGCTTTTTCCATTTTAAAATCAAGTGTTTTTTGAAGTAGAGAACAAGACACACAAGACAAAATGTCAATATTTGGGCCAAGAAATATTTGAACACTGATTTCTCCAAGGTGTTTTGGTGTGATGTGTGTGTCTTGATAGGCCAGATGGATGGATGGATGGGCACCAGGCTGGATCAGTAAAGGGCAACAAGTTCCTTATCGACTCAGACGCCAGCAAGGTGGAGGTGGGCTGGTATCACCAAAGATGAGCTTGTGACGCCTTTTCTGGTTTATGATGGTGTCTAGATAAACTCCCAGACCTACTGCCAGTTTCTGGAAGACACCTTTTTCAAACAGTGGTACAAGAAGAAGTCGCCATCATTCCAGAAAGACATGATAATCATGCAGGACGATGCTCCGTCACACGCATCAAAAGACACAGCGCGGCTGGACAGAAAAGTCTAAAAGGAGAAAAAATAATGACATGGCCGCCTTGTTCATCGGATCTGAACCCCATGGAGAACCTGAGGTCCTTGATGAAATTTGAGATCTACAGGGAGGGAAAACAGTGTCTGGGAGGCTGTGGTGGCTGCTGCACGCAATGTGGATCACAAACAGATCAAGACACTGACAGAATCCATGGATGGAAGGCTTTAGAGCGTCAAGGTGAAGAAAGGTGGTTATATTGGTCACTGATTTGTTTTTATGTTTTTGAATGTCGGAAATGTTTATTTCTGAATTTTTAGTTGTTATTGTGGTATACCCGGTGAAAATAAACAAGTGAGATGGGTATATATTTGTTTTTTTTTACGCAGCCTAATAATTCTGCACAGTAATATTTACCTGCACACACAGACATCCTCATAAAATGGCCAAATCTAAAGAAAAACTTTTGGGTCTTTTGGGTGGATTGAGTACACAATTGTGGCCCTATAATAAAAATAATCCTCAAAAATACAACTTGCCTAATAATTCTGCACACCGTGTATACAGTGCCGTATATATAGATTAGGTTAGACATTCTCAAACAGCCCAGGTCTCTTGGAGGACTCTTCCTCTTTGTGTTTGTTGTGCTTCAAGCTGGAAAAATGAAAACTAACTAGTTTGTATTTGTATATTTAGAATCTACAATAGTCCAACCAGCATTCTTCAAAAGACGATTACATAATATTATTAAAAACAAGTTATGGAAGAACTGAATAGTTTGGGGGTTTAAGCTTTTAGCCATGATGCACGGTATACCAAGCATAATAGTGTGCCTAGAGTTATAATAAAACTTATAAGTTACAATTACATTTTTTTGTCTTTTTTTTTTAAGTTACCAGACCCTTTACTAATAAAACATGGTTTGATGAGCAGACTGACATCTCAGTAGTTTCAGGCAGATGCTTTTCTAAGCTGTAGGCTAACTTCCTGAGTTTACTTTGGGCCATTTGGTGGATGTGACGTCAAGCGTCCATGTTGAATCAGTTCTGTTTAAGTTAGATTTTGTGGAAACTCAGTAGCGACCAGCATTCAGCTCAACTCAAGACACCAGCGACAACTCGATGTAAAGTGATAGTTACGGTGAGGAGAGCGCAGTGCAGAGCAGGCATTAAGATCTGCCTTAGGTATTCAGACCCCTTTAAAATGTTTCACTCTGTTTCATTGCAGTCATTTGATAAAGTCAATAAAGAAAATATTTATTTCTCCTTAAAGTACACTCAGCACCCCAGCTTGACAGAAAAAGACAAGAATGTAGACATTTTTGCAAATTTATCAAAGAAAATCAGAAATATCTGATTATCATAAGTATTCAGACCCTCTGTATTGAGTAGAAGCACAGTTTTAAGCTAGTACAGCCATGAGTCTTCATGATGCAACAACTTTCTCACACCTAGATTTGATCCTCTGCCATTCTTCCTTGCGGATCCTCTCTAGTTCTGTCAGGCTGGATGGTGAGCGTTGGTGGACGGCTGTTTTCAGGTCTCTCAAGAGACGCTTGATTGGCTTTAGCTCAGACCTCTGGCTGGGCCAGTCAGCAATGGTCACAGAGTTGTTCCCAAGGCACTGCTTTGTTTCTTTTAGCTGTGTTTTTAGGGCGATTGTCTGGTTGGAAGGTGAACCTTCGGCCCAGTCTGAGGTGCTGAGCTACTCTGGAAGAGGTTGTCTTCCAGGCCATCTCTGTACATGGCTGCATTCATCTTTCCTTTAATTGCAACCAGTCGTCCTGTCGCTGCAGCTGAAAAACATCCCCATGGCATGATGCTGCCACCACCATGTTTCACTGTTGGGATTGTATTGGGCAGGTGATTAGCAGTGCCTAGTTTTCTCCACACATACCACTTAGAATGAACACCAGAAAGTTCAATCTTGGTCTCATCAGACCAGATAATCTTCTTTCTCATAGGGAATCCTTCATGTGTTTTTTTGGCAAACCCTATGCGGTCTTTCATATGTCTTGCACTGAGAAGAGGCTTCAACTGGACCACTCTACCATCAAACCCAGACTGGTGGAGGGCTGCAGTGAAAGTTGACTGGGTGGAACTTTCTCCCATCTCCCTACTGCATCTCTAGAGATTAGTCACACTGATCGTTGGGTTCTTCTTTACCTCTCTCACTAAGGCTCTTCTCCCAGGATTGCTCAGTTTGGCTGGACGACCAGGTGTAGGAAGAGTTCTGGTCGTCCAAACAAGAACAAAACTGGGCCAGCCTTTCTGGTTTTAGCACTGGATTGTTTAGGCTCAAATTATAGGCTTGGCTCAGATTATAGCAAATAACCAGATCAGTTACCATAACTTTGCAGACAACACACAGCTTTACATCCCAATGTCACCAAGTGACTATGAACCAATCAGAATGTTGGATAGATGCTTAGAACAGATCAATATATGGATGCACCATCATTTTCTACAACTGCAAAAAACAAAACTGACTGACTCCTAAGAAGGAGAGATCCAGAGTAAGCCCACAGCTTCAGCTACAGACGAGGTCACGGATTAGTGGACCGCGGTCCGGATCTGGACCCACCTGCTAGCTAATCCGGACCCAACCTGATTTAAAAACATTAATAAATTAGCGCATGTTTTCCGACGGCAGTGTCTATCCCCCATATTCCACATACTCCGTCAGCGATCTGCTCATGTACATCGTGCGGAGAACTTGTCTGTCATGTTAATCAATGAGAGCTGTTCCACATCCACCGCTACTCCTCCGCACCTCACCATCCACGTACATCTTCTCTGTATGTCACCGTCAAAATATGGAGCAGAGCTTTTTTTTTTTTTTTTTTGCTCTGGTCTGGCCAGGACAAGATCCACAATTGCAATCGCACCAAACAAGTAAAAGAACGGCAAGAAGATCCAGTTTGTCAAATTAAAATATAGTAAAAATGGATCGGTAACTACAAACTAGAGCATAATTCTTATATATTCCCCAAAACTAAGGCCGTTTAATTAAAAAACTGGATGCAAACTATTACGAGATTTCTCATCTTGATCAAAATATTTATTTTATATGGAGAGGCTTAAAGATTAATCACATCCAGTCAAAAGATATTTCCTATCTTAGGCCTGGATGAAGAGATGCTGAGTTTGGAAGCAGAGAACAAACATAGTTAATAAAAAACAGTTTTGGATGAAGGCTTTACTGGATGTGGGGTTTCGGGGTAACATCACTCTTCTCTCTCTCACTGCTCTCATTAAGCCATTAAAAAGAAAAGAAAAGAACGGTCAGGTCTTTTATAAAATATGTGAATCAGGAAATTGTCTATATGCCAAACTGAATCATTGTTGTTCTCTACTTCAAAAAAAAAAAACACTTTAGATTTTGGAAAAAAACATTCTATTTTTTTAAATATCTTTTTTATTTAAAAATTCCATGTATATCATGGAGGCATAAAAATCTCATTTTATTTCAATGTTATTTTCTGTTTAAAGTAACAGATCATAATTAGAAATATCTCCAGACCTTTACTGGTTGTTGATTTTCTTTATTCGGACCCTGCTGGTTTTTAATGGGTTACCCCTGAACTACATCTAGAAACCACTGATTATGGCTGATATCTTGGTGTCATGATGGACTCGGACCTGAACCTTCAGAGCCTCATAAAGGCAGTTACTAAGTCAGCCTTTTATAACCTGAAGAACATTTCCAGGATTAAAGGACTAATGTTCAAGCTGGATTCATGCATTTATCTTTAGTAGAACTGATCACTGCAACAGTGTCTTCATAGGTTTGCAAAAAAGTCCATCAGACAGCTGCGTCTAATACAAAAAATAGATCCTCTGGTTGGCTGCATATCATGAATAATTATGGAAGGGTAATTGTAGCTCTGTTTGCACTGAAACATTACATATATGACTCAGTGTCTGAATAACATCACCTTCTTTATAGTCATATCAATGCCACAGCAGTCAGATTTACAGTTATGAACAATACTGATAATTTTCTTACTTCCACTGTTGTGAGAAACATAAAATCCAAATTTCTATTAAACAATCTCTCCAGAAATATTTGCTGAAACTATAAAATGCATCTATTATGTCCTCAAAGTTATATTTGTTGTGAAATACAGAGGAAACATAGTTTTTGGAGTAGGGACACACCATTGCTAGTGATTCTTTTTAACCTTTTTAGGTGACTGGTAAGAAGAGGCAGACAGTATGTGACAGAACTGCAGGATTTGATTTTGTACCTGTGGGTGGCAGACTTGCGTGGAGCCATACTGAAGTCTTCAGGGAACCACCGCCTGTAATTAACCACAGAACAAAGCAGAATCATTTCAATGATTTTTTTCTTACAACATAAATTATATAGAATAAAACTAAATCAAGATAGTTAACTAGACTTTTGATTTCCCAATCTTTATTTTAAAAAAACTTTTGTTTTGAGTTTTCAAACTAATATTCCAATTTTGTACGGGTTAAGATTCTCAGTCATCCAGGTGATAGTCATTTAGAAGACATCTTTTATTCAGCCAGGCCAACAATTCCCTTTAATGACCCCCCTTTCAGAGACAGATACAGGTATGGGGCATTGCAGGATAACAAAAGAAGCCAAACGTCCCCCAATCCAAAGGGGTGGACCCATTCGTCCAGTTGAATGTGTATGTATATATATATATATATATTAGGGGTGGAACGGTTCACAAAATCCACGGTTCGGTTCGGTTCACGGTTTCGTGGTCAAGGTTTTCGGTTCGGTATATGTTGATTGTTACACCAAAATCCCATAAAAATTAATGAAATTAATGAAAAAATCCCCCAAAAATTAATGAATTGTAATTATTTTTAATGATGCGCGGAAACCCTTGATCATTTGCTGCTTTGAATTTAATCATCTCACGCATGCTCTCTACGATCTCCAAGGAACTCAGAGCGGAGCGGACGGGAGCCACAGTGGAGGCTGTAGGCTTTGCGGAGTAAGTGGGATTTCGGGGTTAGCATGACATGTTGGTCATGTTGCTGTTAGCATAAACAAAACGTGTTGCACCATGCTTGCACACTGTTGCACTTTTATCCACAACTTTCTTTCCGCCGTCATCGTAGGTCACTCTAAATGCAAAGTGGTCCCATACAGCAGACCTATAAAGTGCTGCTGGCGCGTCTTCCAACTCCTGTTCTTTCCCACTCGCCATACCCACACAATTCTCCACAACAACTGATTTTTTTCTGCTACACCCGGCTACACTGCTTCGCTTCTTCTTCTTCTTGTTTACTACTGGTGGTTGGCTTTGGTCGCAGTAGCGCCACCTTCTGCTCTGGAGTGTAATGTAAAAATGGAGCAGCGCATGAACCGAACGAAACACACGCGAACCGAACCAGTAGAACCGAACGGTTCGGACGGTTTTCATAAACCGTTCCATCCCTAATCTAAATATGTATCTATATATGTATCTATATATCTAGATCTATATATCTAGATATATATATATATATATATATATATATATATATATATATATATATATATATATATATATATATATATATATATATATATATATATATATGTGTGTAAGGTTCTTTTAAAGGTTTATTTTTTAAAACTATAAACAGTGAGTTTTGAATAATATGTACTATTATTTTGTGATTGCTCAAAATGTGTCCCACATATTTTTTCACCACCGTCAGATATTCATAAAAAGCAATAAAACCATGCAACTAAAAGGTCCTCAGTATATACATCTACTTACTGATGACCCCATTTTCAAATCTTCAGCTCTACTGCATGCTTCAAGTTCAATCAAGCTCCTCTAAGTTTTCTATTTTCTCTTTAATTTGCTCATATCTTTCAACACTGCTGATGTCACAACCAAAAGATGTCAACACCGCTTCTTTTGTATAAAAAATATTAGATTAGAGTTATGACATAAATGTTTACTTTTTAAGTCTAAAGTAGCTAGCAACAGAGGGGAAAAAAGATGGCTAATGTGAAAAACTCATGCATATCATTTGAAGGAGTAGTTTTTTCTCACAACCGTCAGGTTTTCTGTCTGAAGGTGATGATATGCAGTGCGACTGTGATGAAAAAACCTACAAATGGTCCTCAACGGAGGCTAGAATATAAATGCTGATCCGTAATGTTGCATTAACCTCTTTTATATTTTTATTTATGTTTATGTATGTAGGGGATGAGGTGTGCCTTCCCTCTCTCTCAGTTCACTATTATGCCATGTTCATTTGGCTGGACATAGTGCGCCTACTACCTACCTACATAGCACATAGTATACAATATCCTTTGTAAGCTGTGCATCTCCTATGACTAAAGCCTAATAAAAATGTCATGGCAACCAAATCTAACATTTACGGTAATTACCCCTAATTACATAGTTATTACTTACACACTTTGGTGAAGGAAGGGAAAATAAAAAAATCAATGACTCAATTCAGTCAATGACTTGAATGAAAGGGAAAAGAGAAGTCAGAGGAAGGCTTGGAAACATAGACAACAAGTATCAATCGAATGTAAGAGAAAGGCTCAGATCACCCAGAAACTGCACCAGACAGTCCAGTGGATCACTTCATGCATGAGCCAGCTCGGAGTAGACAGGCTGCAGCAGGAGTAGGGGACACTAGACCACAGTTTAACATGATGTCAGTGGTGCATTGTACATTATTCCCACTGGTAATTACTTTATTTTTACTATGATGATTTTATATTTGATGATATGGGGATGGGGTACTTCTAATAATGATATTGCTTAATTGTACCTTATATTTCTTAAAAAAAAATGTTTGTCACAGTGCTTACCATTGTTAGTTTTTCAATAGTTTCACATAGTTAAATAAAGTTAATAAGCAAAAAACCATTGACTTGAGTTGTATAGAGTTTTTAATTGTATGTTGTAATGAGGCCATTGTCACCACCGTCAGATTAGTGTCACCACCGTCAGTTCCAAAGTCACCACCGTCGGAGGGCTTTTTATTTGTTTTAAATGAATATGCTTACAATATGTTCCTTCAATGCTGTTCTGTCACTAAAGTAATATGCTCTTTTAATACAAAAATATGTTTGCTGATTAAAATATTTCACATTTAACAGCATATATGTGTACTAACAATGCCAGATAATGATTTAAAAACTCTAAATACATATTAGACCAAATAAATAAAAAATAATTAGCCTTTTATTGTGTCTGACGGTGTTGACTAAAAGTGATAACTGGAAAAACTGCTATTTTATGAAAAAAATTCAAAGCAAAAAGGTTGCACCAGTACATTTGCTTAACAGCCAAGACCTTGGTCTATAACAATATACCTTCAGATTTTGTAATTTTACTAAGTTTTTATTTTCAAAATTAAAACCTGTTTTATCCAAATTCCAAAGACTCAGTGACACACAACAAATACTGGAGTTAGGGCACCAACCCAGTACCATTTCATGTAACACAGAAATCTATTTACCCATTAGTTGACACAGGTCTACTTCGCTGCTCTGTGCTGCCACCTGCTGTAAAGCAGAGTTGTTCATCTGACAGCTGTAGAAGGAGCTTGCTGCCATTACTACTGTTCTTTTACTGTTCTATTTTAAAAAAAAAAGGCTTAATTCAGGAGTCTTCAACATTTTCCAGGCCAAAGACCCCAAACTGATGGTGAGACGGCAGGGACCCCCTAATTATATATATAGTGTATGAAACTGTGTTCTATCAAACTGGTCCTATAGTCACTCTATTACAGATGAGGTAATGTAACAAAGGTAATTTCACCCTAGAATTATTAAAGTTTTTCTGATTCTGATTCCTGGTTGATGGGACAGGTGTTGTGAATGAAACGGTGCCCAGCTTGAAAGAGCTCCTGTGTGTCGCTGAATGTGAGCATTGATGACTGAAAGACATCTTCTGCCTCCATTTATCTGTTTACTACAGTCTGTTGAATTCATGTTAATGTGGATTTAAAGACATTTCAATTAACGGAAAAAAAATTCAGGGGGAAAAATATTTTAAAAAAAGTCTAATTAACCAAAACTTTCACGACCCCCCTGCAGTACCTCAGGGACCCCCATGTTGAAGAACTCCTCTTTAATTTGTTGTATCCAATCAAGTTTCCAATCCAGGATTTAACCTCAGCCATACCTTGCCACAATGATAATCATATCTGAGTCATGCAGGCGTAGAATGATTATATATATATTGTATTATTGGTACTCTGTATCGGCCGATACTCACAGCAAAATCATCGTAAATGTATGGAGAGAAAAAACGGTATCGTAACATCTCATCTACAGACATACATAGCTAAGGTTAGCTATGTATGAGTTCTATGCAGTTGACGTCTAGCATGGAATAAAACGTCTTCATTCATAATTTATGTATTTATAAGACAGATGTACTTTTATTATTAGTCTGATATTATTACAGCAGACCTAGAGCAGAGTGTGCCGAGACGATTAACATTTTTATGGGCTGAGATCAAGTCATGGGTGAGACTGAGTAAAGAATACGACCAGTGTCATCTCTAACGTTCTGCTCCCTCTGCTTTTTATCACAGTACTTATGATAAGTTATGGGTATGCTTTGGATAAGTTATGAGCCCGCTGAAGTACGTTGAAACACGCAGGCACACGTCGACATACAGCGAGCGTCTGCCATCCGTGCGCCATCAGTTCCAGGTCAGTTATCTGATGGTTGACATCCGTTCAGTGTCAGTTCCTCATCAGTCGTGGCGTCTAGCTGATCCTAAACCTCTGAGTAACTTGTGCGTAGCTTATCCAGAACTTCTCTCCAAGCATATCAAGGTATCTGACGTGTTCCAGACGAGCGCTGAACGTGTTTCTAACTTCCAGCTACTGTATAATGGCGTATTGGCAGCGTTTTGGTATAAAGGGGGTTCTCAGGAGGAAATCGTCAGTTCTCCTCCAGACTTCATCCCCATCATAGGGTGAGCCAGAAAGTGAGTGTGATGGATCCTCCCTGCGTTCACGCCCACCACCAACAAACGTCCTATCAGACATGATGCTCAATCTGCTGCCACCAAAAACCGTCTTTTTTCTTTATCGTTTTATTTTTTTTGGCAGGCAGAGAACAGCAGCTAGATTAATACCGTGATCAAAAACATCTATTTTATGCAGACCAGGTGCTTCGCTGCCCCCCTCAGGACAGTGGCTTGTGCATCATTTCATGGTCATGCGTTATATTGAAGTTAGGCTGTTGTTGGACAGAAGTTTTGGACTTGTTATAAATACTCTATGTTTACGCCCCAAATTTTAAAAATACATTGAAAGTTCAGAGTATGCCATCGTTTTAGGAGATTCTGGGACATCAGGCAGACGCTGGATAAATCGGCAAGGTGAGACGGGCCTTAGTCCCTTGTGTTCAGTAGTTTTATTTCTAAGGATGTTTTATGAATAAGTCATTTAAAAATGAATTAGATACTAAACACCTCCCATTAGCCAGTCTGTTATCACCTTAAGCTGTATGCAGCCACATGTTTTTATATTTTTAAATGCTCATCTGTTGAAGTGAAATTTAATTATCAAAATACACTAAATGTTTTTATATTCATTTCACAGGTGGAGTGGAACGGTGAAGTCTGGATCCATTTAGTCTGGGCTCCAGGACCAGAAACATCACAAATTTGAGGCAACATCTAAATAAGCAACTCTAAAATCTGTTTTAATCATAGTCTTAGGTTGACACTGCTCAAATGAAAGTAGCTTATGTGAATTCTATGGTTTTATTCTTCGTTTCTTTGAATCATATTTTGGTTATTCTGAGAATTTGAGTCGGACTATAGCAGGAGAGTGTGTATCCCGTGTATGTCAATGCTCAGTTTTTGTTTTATATTCTGGGCAATACAATACATTGATATCGGCCAATATATTGGATTTTTTTTTATAGCCCCCAATATCGATATCAGTAATGGCCTTTAAAATCCCACATCAGTCCCTATAAAATCTGAAACATGATCAAGAGCCCTTTTCAAATTGACTGAGATTCTTATTCCCATAAAACAAGATCTCAAAGAGTCAGACCTTAAAGAAATTTGACTCTCTCTTTTTAATATTTACTTTAGACCTCTAATCAAATATGTAATAAAATCTTAAATTGTACATTCTTAAAAATGCTTGTTTTATTCCTCTTCATAATAAAAGCCAGGTTCAGATTACCTGAAAAACCAACATTTCTATGATTCACTTGGTTCCTTCAAGAATTATTTTGATTTGTGAGGCAGATTTTAAAAAAAAGGAAAAATTAAGTCATTAAAAAATCATCAATAATTTTAATTTATTATTAACATACACAGTGTCTTGTACAAGTATTCAGCCCCCCTTGAACTTTTCTACCTTTTACCAAATTTCAGGCTTCAGACATAAAATTGTAATTCTTTGTAAAGAATATAAATCAAGTGGGAGATAACCATAAAGTGGAATGAAATTTATTGGATAATTTAACCTTTGCTAAATTAGACAATTTCAGTCTCTGATAGAGATAAAACAAAAGCGACTTGTATCTTTAATAGCAACAAAATGCTGGACCTAAGAAGGATTAAACCTTTTTAAAGACCCGGTTCTTCGGTTTTTCATAAAAAAAATTTCAATAAATTTCATTCCACTGCATTATTTTGACACACTTGGTGGTTCTTTAAAGAACTAAATTTTATTTGTTTGTCTCAACCTGAAATGAGGCCAAAAAGTTCAAGAGGGCCAAATACTTTGGCAAGGCACTATATTTAGGATAAAGATAGTTTTATTAGGTTGATGCCTGCATCTCAGATCACACTGAAAATGTTTTTTTTTTTTTATTCCATAATTAAAATAATGTCCTTTTTTTAATTGATTACATTTCGGGCTTAAACAATTAATAAATTATTGAAATAATCATCAGCTAATTTAGTAATCGATTAATCGTTAACTGGACTATAAAGACTCTAAAACATGCCTTTAGCTGACAGAGCGACACGCATACAGCAGTAATTAGACCAACATTGTAAAAAATATAAACATTTTGCATTTAAGATCAAAATAAAAAAATTTAAAAATGTGTCTGCACTATCCAAAATTCCTCAAGTGGAAAACTTTTAGTTTCACCTGGTTTTATTTCATAAAAATTCTTCTATAAGGAACCTTTTGGCTAAATGCTTATTTATCCATTAGTCGAAAAAATTATCAATAGAATAATCGATTTGCAAACTAGTCATTATTTGCCGTCCTAATTACATTTGTGGCACTTGTGGCTTTCCATACATGCTGCAGTTAATTTGTTACCATATGCAGGCTTAGCTGCTTGCTTGGTATATTTAGATTTTAGCTGAAAGTTCACTTGGTTCATCTGCCTCACTTTCAGATGAACCGCTGTAGGTACCAGATCTGCTCGGGTCCTGCTTCATGCCAGTGACGTTACGCTATATGATTGGCTGTAAGTGTGGCGAGTCAGGAGCATGTGTAGCGTTAGCGTGTCTAATGACCGATCAAGTTTTACCTGATCGATATAAAGGGAGACTGCTGGGTAGGGCTGTGGCTAGCTGTGCTCAGTAGCTAACAGGTTAGCCTGTTTTAGCTCGCTCAGTTAGCCATGTTAAGCTACACTACTTTTAACTTTGTGTTAACAACAACCGTCGTTTTCTACGAGTAGAATAACTGTTATCTTTGTCTAAAAGAGATTTGATCCTTAAGAAACGGGTGCAATACAGTTTTTCCGAGTGCCGTTGTCATATGATGATGTCATAAGAAAAGGCGGGGCCCCGTGCACATCTGACCACACGGGTAGATCTCGCCATCCATAAAGGAAACGCAGTGAGGAAGACTTTACCTGCAGAGCTCTTTGATGGTGCTGACATCAATGATCCTGTAATGAAGATGGTACATGAACTGTGGCATGTACTTGTCCAAGAACCTCTTGTCTGCGTGTACAGAGTTGCCTTAAGAAGAAATAATAAAACATGAGCATTATCAGGGTTCTCAACAGTATTTTCATTCTATAATAAACCTAAATCCTTTTCTTTTTTTTGTCTGTTTACTGAGCCCAGTGCCTTTTCTTTCACTTCTCAACATTAGAGTTGAAGTTTGATACATACTTTCAGTTAAAAAGCTGTAAAGGTAAGAGCTGGGAATGACTTCACTCACTGGAAAAATGATCTGGAAATAAGTAAAAATGTCTTGAGTAGGTAAATGAGATAATTTGCCAATGAAATTAGCATTTTTACTCTTAAAATAAGATAATTAGATAATATGCACTTGAAATAAGACAATGCAATTGTGTTTTCTTATTTAAATAGATTTGTTACTTTTGTTTCATTTAAACTCATTTTCATAATGGTGGTATTTAAAAAGAAAAACATCAAAATAATTTCTTTCATCCAGACAATTAATTTTTGGTTGGACTGTTTTTCACCACATACTAAAATAAACACTTTTTCAAAATGATGCAAAGTGGTCGATAAAAAAACAAACTTTGTATTTTATCAGACTAAAACAAAGTGCAACTATTTCAAATGATGTAAAATATGAAAGATGTTTGCAACATAAGCCTTCGCTTTTCTGCTTTCTCGTTTTAACGTCTTTATTATGTACGACATCTTACAGTAGAGAAAGAAATAAAACCCATTTTAGGACAAGGTTTTAACTGGAACATGATATTTTCAAGACACCCAGCTGCTATTAAAACCAAACTTACCAGCAAGGGGACATTGCCCAGGTGGCGTGTGCTGCCTGACAAAGGACAGAAACTCGTATTCGGCCTGTTCCAGGGTGATGTGGCTGTTTTTGACAGCCTGAATCAGTCCTGACTGTTACAAACAAGACAACAAAGCAGGTAACACAACAGCATTCACTTCCACTGATGCTGGAATGCGTGCAGACTTAATTTGGAAAGGTATAATCTGCGAGTGTTGGTGTCTACCTTCCCATGATGCTCTTTACACCACTCCGACATCCCGTCCAGCAGCTCGTCTGGCTGCTTGATGATTACAGTTGGTCCCTACCAAGCAGCAGCAACCCGGTTTACTTCACATACCGAACCAAAACTGTTCCACACTGCAGGAGTCTCTCTGGATTACCTCTGCTATGATGTTCAGATCAGAGTCGGTGATGATGCACGCCATTTCAATGATTTGGTCTTTTTCCACATCTAAACCCGTCATCTTTAAAGGAAAAAAAAAAACAGAATGTCACTTTTTGTGCCACAGTTTAGTGTCATGCAGCTTCCCGAGAAGACTACCTAATACCCAACGCGATTTCAGCAGGAAAAAAGGCATCTGCTGCTTCATTTCGGGGTTTTTGACAGTGTCCTGTCTGGCAATGCTTCAATATGAATAATTGTCTTGATGCCAAAAAGAGCCCAACAGATTTTACTTTCACAAGAGGAGCAGTACGGCTATCGCCTTAGTGCTCCGCTTGATTTATGCATAGAAATTGCATTAACATAGTTATGCAGGGAGTTTTACAGATTATATGGACACTGCAATGTAGTTTGAACAGGAAAGGAAAAACAGAAAAAAAAAGGATAAAAGATGAAAGAAAGAGGAGATAAAAGGGAGATAATGATAAAACATTTTCAGTCTGCTTCATCACCTGCAAAGAGATGGAAAAAGAACAAAACATCCAGCAGACATGGTACGAGACATACAATAACACATAGATACTATCACTGAAGTATAAGTAGTATTATTTAGTCTGACATGTACTGTGGTAACTGAAGATAAGAATATGCAGTGTTTCCCACAGGATTTTAGGAGACTGTGGAGGGAGAGTCTCTGACCCTTGGGGGTTTTGCACATTTTTAAGCGTGATGTATCCCACTTAAAGGGGAATACTTTTTTTTTTTTCTTTTTTTTTTTACATGGGCCCTTGATTTTACGTTATTACATCATGTTTTACTCACCCATATGAGTTTTGTGTCATTTGGATCCGTTCTACAGATATTCTGGTATATCTAACGGAATATGAACTGCTGCTAGTTTTCCTCACATGCCTGGAAGATGTCTAGTGCTGCTACCACAGATGATCTCGCTCTCCAAATGGAAATGAACGATTCAAATTAGCTAGAATGAATAGAAGGGATAGAGCGTAGCCGCCTGTGGCCCGGGCTGCCTGTCACAACTCCAGTCCGGCAGCAGTTCAGCTGACAGGATGAATGAATGGTAGAATTATGTGTTTTAAAAATGAAGCGGCGCGTGGATGAAGTCATCCACGCGCCACTTCATTTTTAAAACACATAAATATAAAAAATATAACGGTGGATGTGTGGGGGACAGTGATTGGCCTACATGTTCTGAATGCTGGCGTACCATAAAGAATAAATGATGAACAGTTTAGTTTGTGCCTTCAAGTCGTTGCCCATAGGAAGACGTTACTTGGATATAACCTAACGGAATAGCTTGGCAAAGAACTCATGCTCTTCCTCAACACTGAAGTCCTCAGAGATTTTTCTTTCGTTGTTTCTTTCTTTGCACAGGTAAACAGCACATTTCTTCTTCTACGCTTGCATTATCGGCAGAGCAGACGCTGAATGCGCACTTTCATCTGGTTTGGTCTGCCGCGGTTTCCGTAGACTCGTGAACGCGCTTTGAGGAAATCCTATACACTACTGTTTATGCTCTAAAAACATTCTAAATGACTTCGTTTCGAGTAAATTATGGGCGCTACCCAATCAGGACACTTGGAATACATTGGACGAGCAGTATGGAGGAATATTGACACGTTTTTTGTGGACTTTTATGGACCTTTCTGCCTCGGGCACCATAGACCTCCATTATTTGAATGTCAGCAGACAGCAAGAAGCCTCCCAGATCTCCAGATTCATTTGAGATATCAAAAAAGTACTCCAGAGTGTTGTTCAGCATGGGGGTGAGTAGAAAATGAAGGCTAATCATGTTTTGGGTGTACTATTCCTTTAACTGATAGAGAAATCCACTTAGAGCAGTAATGTAAAAATAAAAAATAAAAACACATCTATTCATCATAAACAATTTAACTTTAAGATATAAACAATTCTGCGATTAAGCTTTATCCAGCATTCCTCAAATGGAAATTTGAAATTTTACCGGATTTAATTCTGTAAAAATAAATCTTCAAATCTTTGAGGGTAGTTTGTAAACAGTTTGAGAATAGCTGGAGTTTGTAAAAAAAAAAAAAAATGTAGCAATGAACGTTATAGCCCAATTACCTTAAAGCAATTATAGTCCTTTTCCATCTGCAAAGACCTTACTTTATAAAATGATTACTGTTTAACCGCTTCTATGTGAGCCTACATGTTTTGTTCCTAAAGCTCCACATTATCGGCATAAAGTGTGTTCATAGTTAGCTGAGGCTGTAACTTGCCTCCAGGTCCACCCACACCATCCTGCTGGACATCGAAGACATGCTGACTCTTCTGCCACCAAGTGATGAAAAATAGCTGAGAGACGTTTCTGGAAAAAGAGAACCTGCTGAAAAAGGTCCGACACGCTGCGACAATCCTTTAAAGCGAAAAGAACAAAACTGTCTGGAGATGAATGACGCAAAAACTCGTTTCGTCCCGCAGTCCTGTTTGATCAGAGCTAAAGACCAACAGAGCCGCGACAGAACGGTCTTCTTCTTCTTATGAGATTTTATGGCGGTTGGCAAACTTGTGAAATGTGCATTACCGCCACCAACTGATATGGAGTAAAGCAAGGAAACAGGAAACGATTCACCCCCCCCAAAAAAAAAAAAAAAAAAAAAAAAAATACAATAAAATAACCTGTGTAACTTAAACCCACATAATACTAAATTATACTAAATTACATTTGCCCGTATAATTTTAATTTACTCTAGGTCATCGTACCTCTGCCAGTTTCTGATGGTCCCATTGGTCTTTCCATCATGCTTCCAACCATCTCCCAGTTCATATCTTTAACATCCAGATATTTTTCTGCAGCCTTCACTATTATTTTGATTTTTTCTGTTTTTTTTGTCGTCTGAGCAGTACAATTAATCACTTCCACCATGAAAAGAACAAAATTTGTCTTTTTAACAATTAGTGAGTCTTCATCAATTTTTGGAGATTTCTCTAGAGGTTTGAAATTTGCCGTGTGTTGAACTGTAGGTTTGGGTTTTTCTGACTGAGATGGGATCCTTTTTGCAGCTTCAGCATAAGTTATTCCAAGCTCAAATTTCATTTTTTTTATTTCTTCAGACCTTTTGCTTGCTTCACAGCCGCGATAAGCAGCAGTATGTTCTCCACCACAATTACAGCATTTTATTTTAGCTTCTTTTCCACATTTACCATATTCATGTTCTCCTGCACACCTTCCACACCTCTGTTTCCCTTTACAAACTGCTGCAATGTGTCCGAATTTTTGACATTTGAAACATCTCAATGGTGGTGGATTGTAGATTTTGACATTGTAACTGATGTAACCGATGAATACTTTGCTTGGTAATTGCTCTTCCTCGAATTTAATTAGTACAGATAAACTGTCAGATCTTTCTCCGTTTCTTGTTGTTTTTAACCGTTTTACTTCTTTTACTTTTGCACCGCTTATGTTTTCCAGAATCTCTTTTTCAGAAATTTTCAGAGGAACTCCTCCAATGACTCCCCTGCTGATCTTTTTGTTCTCCATTAGGCTGCACTGAACTCTTATCCCGTCAATTTTGTTAATACGTATTGCTTTGCCTTGCTGGGCGCTGTCTCTGCAGTTAATTAGCAGGTCTCCACTGTACAGAATTCTGGCACCTCTGACTTCTCCAACAAGTTTATTGATGGTTTTTGTTAAGTGAACCGGATTCCAGTTTGTAAAAGAGTCTGCCTGATTAACGACTTTGAATATGACTTTGAATTCATTTTGTTGTGCTGTGGAATGTATGGATTGATCATCACTGGATTGTTCTGAACTAGATTCCCCTTTAACTGATCTCTGTTTTTTCCGCTTTTTCTCATTTTTTGATGCTGCTATCTTCCAACCTTCATTGTCACTATTTCCCTCTTCCATCCCACAAGAATCGCTTCCTGTTTCCTCACTACTCACGGCCCAGGACATTTCTCCACAAGCAGAGCAGCTTCAAAACACGCGCCCGACAGAACGGTCATGCTGGCAACAAGCTCTTGTTCTGCATCATCTACTTCCTGATCTAGACAGCCTTGACTATTACTGCCCCCTTTAGCTTAGGCAGTGTCATTACACCGAGAAGCTGTATGAAGTACATGTGTTAACAGTATATATATATATATATATATGTGTATATATATATATATATATATATATATATATATATATATATATATATATATATATATATATATATATATATATATATATATATATATATATATGTATATATATATATATATATATATATATATATATATATACATATATATATATATTTATATATATACACATATATATATATATATATATATATATATATATATATATATATATATATATATATATATATATATTATGTTCTCATTTGAATGAAGTAATTTTTTGTTCACTGTTCTCATTTTTTTTCAAGAAGAAAGAAAGAAAGAAAGAAAGAAAGAAAGAAAGAAAGAAAGAAAGAAAGAAAGAAAGAAAGAAAGAAAGAAAGAAAGAAAACCTAATTTGGGACAACCCTAGTTATTTCTTTGCCGCTATTTATTTCTGTCTGCCCTTTTTACATTTACAAAAAAGGGCAGACAGAAATAAATAGCGGCAAAGAAATAACTAGGGTTAAAAAAAACAAAGGAACAATAAAACAGACAAAAATATTATAACATACACATAAATAAATACTTAAAATTTAAGTAATTAAAAAATAAAGTTGAAGATTCTAAAGGACAAAAAAAATAAGGTAAATATTACAAAGGCAAATAAATAAAGAAGCTAATTAAAATAGTTATATACATTTATGTCTCATTGTATAATTTAATTTCTATTTACATTTATTTGTTTATTGTATTTTTGGTTACAATTAATAGTATGCTTATTTATTTATTGAGCATGTATTTATTTCTCTATTTATTTCTAAATATGGCAGAGTTGGTCCTCCATACATCTGTGCAGAGTATGGGCTGGAAACCCCAAGGTCAAAGTGGGAAACACCTCCAAAGGTTGTAGAGAATGATCAAGCCAAGATCCTGTGGGACTACAGATATAGACGGACCAAATGGTAATGGCAAACCAACCTGGTGGACAAAAAGCAGAGGAAAGCCGTTGTGGTTGCCATAGCAACACCAAGTGACATCAGGAAAAAAGAAGATGAGAAACTAGAGAAATACCAGGGGCTCAGAGAAGAGCTGGAGAAAACCTGGAAGGTCAAGGCATCAGTGGTACCCGTGGTGATTGGGGCCCTCGAGGCAGTGACCCCCAAACTGGAAGAGTGGTTACAGCAGATCCCTGGAAATACATGAGACATCTCGGTCCAGAAGCGTGCAGTTCTAGGGACAGCAAAGATACTGCGCAGAAGCCTCAAGCTCCCAGGCCCGAGCTTGGAGGAAAAGGGGGGGGGGGGGGATCAAATGGAGTGGTTGCTGTCTGCTTTAATATTTACAGTACAGAATCACAAAACAAACCATTTTCTAAACCATATGTTTGTCAAATAGTTTTCATGTGTTTCTCTTTAATGAATGGTTTAGCTCTAGCCTCAGATATACTAACTGATCCATTCATCCTTTTTTGATAATACAGTTTATACATTTCAAAATACCAGACACTGTACAAATAAACATAATCAAACACATACAAACAGGCTGTAAAAGTCTTTGATTAAAGGAGCTCCTCTACAGTCTGGTGCAGAGGGTGGAAGGTGTTGTTCATGATGGATGGAAGCTTAGAAGGCACCCTCCTCTCAGCCACTTCTAAAACAATACTCCAGCTCGTTCCCCTCAGAATCACAGCCTACAATGGCCGAGTCATCTGAGAACTTCTGAAGATGGCAGCTGTCCGTGTTGAAGGTGAAGTTCGAGATGTAGAGGGTAAAGAGGAACGGAGACAGAACGGTGCCCTGAGTGGCCCCGGTGCTGCAGACTGCCCCCTCTGACTGACACCCGTCCAGCCACACGTGCTGAGGGCATTCGGTGAGGTAGTTGATGGTCCAGGTAGCAAGATGTTTGTCCACTCCAGCGTCCTCCAGCTTCCCCCTCGCAGGTATGATGGAGTTGAAAATGCTGGAAAAGTCAAAGACTTTTAAACAAACTGCAGCGGGTCCAGGATGGGGCTCACCACGGTGCGTAGGCGAGCTAGGATGAGGCACTCCATGTTCTTCATCGGGTGGGAGGTCAGGGTGACCGTTCTAAAGTGAGCTGGTTCCTTGGCGTGCAGCGTTTTGGGAACCAGTACCACACAGAAGGTCTTTCACAGAGTGGGGACCACCCCCAGGCTGAGGCTGTAGATGTAGCTGAGGACCTCACCTAATGTCATGATCTGCTCTGATTGCTGGCCTGAATTACTCATTTCACTCACCTGCATAGTTCTGCCCAGTTTCTAATCATCCCTGATCGTATCCACCAGTAGGTTCTGCTTTATATTCGGTCCAGCCCAGAACTAGGCAGGTGAGGGAAATGAGTAATTAAGGCCAGCTATCAGAGCAGATCATGACGCCTACATCTCCAACCTGAGCCTCAGCCTGAAGATACGAAAAAAACATGAATACAGACATTAATGACAATTAATGACATTAATTAAGACAGCATTTAATATGAACAGTATTTAATAAAATCCTGTGGTTTAATCATATTTCATAATTGAATAATACATGTAATCATTTAATAAACATTTAATAATATTAAGAAACTGAATAAGTATTTTTGAATTACACACTGATCGATATGGTGATATTAATGGTTGCCTTTTCTTGAGTTTCATTCTACTACTTTTTGAACTGCAATCCCTTTGTGAGCCTTCAAATCCTTCAAAACATGTCCTGAACAGATATGACACCAAATCTGACCAGTAAATCTTTTTTTCCATCTCTTTGCTTCTTCAAAACCTTAGCTGTGTTGTATAGGGAGAAAAGATTATATGCATTATATGCACAATTATACTTTTTTCCTCATTGTATCGTTGATGCAACTTTGCAAACCTGTTAACAACGGTTCTGCTGGTAAGCCCATGAGCAAGTCCAAATCCACAGATCAGCCCACTAGGTGGCAGTAGAGCATAACATACAGTGTTTCCACTGAGGTTGAATTTCAGTACATAGTGGCTGTGTTCGAATTCATGGGCTGCATCCTCCAAGGACGCGGTTACCTAGACTGGATCCTTCGAAGTCCTTGAAAAAAAGGAGACCGGAAGTGTTGTGGCTGTGAATTCAAACAGGTCTATCCTTCAGCGGGTTTTACGGCCGTATCCCCTGTTGCTTAGCAACCGCATCAGTTGACACACTAAGCAGGAAAATAATGAATACCGAAGTTTTCAAAACTGTTTATTTCTTTCTTTTTTATTGAGTGGAATAAATTAGCCAACCACCGGGAGCAGGAACAAGTAAAAGCAAATCTAATGATAGAAACCATAGTCAGTTAAATAACCTGCTGCTGTCATTTTGAACATCTCTGATGTTGCTGCCATTTTCAAATATCCATTACTGTAAAAATGTCCACAACTGGATATTGGTTATTTATTCTCCAGGTGCACAGTTTGATATTGTTAAAACTCAGTATTTTATTATTTATATTTTAACTCTTCCCTATTATGTTATGCAAATTTAAGACAAAAGAAAAATGTTTGAAAGAAAATACTTTTTATATAATAGATAAAAAGTAAAAAGACAATCTGAAAATTATTTCGAAGTTTTGTAAAAATACATATTTTATTCTCAAATATTGTTTTTTAAATCAGAATGAATACATTTTCTCTAAAAATAAATTTCCCTCTCAAAGCGTTTTTCTTCTCTTGTCATAGAAGGGTTGCCAATGAATAAATCCAGGCTATTCAGAAGTAAATGAAATAAGAAACAGTCAGTAGACCACCAGTTTTTACTTTTGAAGTTTAAAAGAAAAGCATAATTTGTGCATTCCTTTTAAGAAAATGCAATTACGATATTTCAGTGTACCATTAAGGGGATTTACATTGTGCCATGGTTATATTGTCTATCCATCTGAAAAGCAAAAACTGGAGTTGGTGCAAATATAAATTTCAAGAACAAGTTCTGGAGTCTGGAGAGTTTCTGCTGATATACTCCAATCCGGTGGGTGGCGCTAAATCCAGTCGAACGTTGCTTTAGTCAACAGCGTTAATACACACCGTAGAAGAAGAAGATGAGGAAGCTGCTTTGCTGCCTTCCAAGGTTATAACTGCAGAGCTCTATAAAACTTTGGGTTTGGACAATTAAAAATAATCAGCATGACAGCAAACACATGTAGAAAAGCAGCGATAAAATGTTAATAACTCTGTGTTACGTCTACATGTGGGTCCTTTTTCACAAGTGTTACTCGGTGTTGATCCGCAACAGTCTGTCGAGGCTGAGGAGCAGGAAGAGCCGCCTCTGCCTCGGCTTCTGTTCCGGCTCCGGTTCGGCTTCTACATCCTGCACAGCACCGCCCCCAGGACTCAGCGGAGCCGCTCCAAATTCACACAACCTTACCGGTCCCGGAGACAATGTTTTCCTCCAGCTCGGAGACAAGGCCGTCTATGTCACGGAGCCTCAGGTTAGAAACGGGAGCCTAGCTGGAGAACGTTAGCTTTCAGTCTGAGGGGAGGAAGGAAACATGGCGGAGTCTGCCGGGGAATAAAGGCTGTCATTAAGACTCAGCGGGATGTGGGAGGAAGCTAAAGGTGGTGCTCAGAGGAGCAAACAAGTTTACTAAACTTCCTAGGAAACAAAACAGCAACATTAGCTTGGAGCAAACATGGGGTGCTTAGAGTTGGTGCCGGTTCAACTCCCACAGACTGCCTCTGGGTCCCTGAGCAAGACCCTTCACCCTTTATAGGGTCAATAGTGTTTTTGGAATTTGATGGGGAAAAAATATTGTCAGTGTGCTAACAAGAAACGCTAACACACCCGAATAGATAAGAAAAATAACAAAAGTGCTTCTATAAGAAATTCATGAGTGAAAGAAACTCATTTTATTTTTGTTTTAACATAATTTTAGAGGCATTAATGCTGATACTGGCACATTTTTCTTAGTTTATAAACCCAAATATAATTAACTCATTAACCTTTTTTACTTTACTTTTTAACTTGTCAATTAACCTTTTACCTTTTTTTCTTGACTTGTTAACTTCTTTTTTTCCAACTTAATTTCCAGTAGGTAATATATCATTCAAGGGCTCATCTAATTTGTCAAAATAAGATGTGCAGCCATGTAACAGGATCTTTGCTGAACGGCTGGGGATGAACCTAATAGAAAACGGTAACTTGCCCTATAAAGGGCCACAGTCAGGCCTGCCATGTTTTCACCAAACCTTGGAGTGAGATTTTGAAAGAACTTGGACCGGCAACCCTTATCAGGGTTAGATAAAGACAGGTGCAGCTATAGGTTGGAGGTTTTTAGAGGATTTAACTGGAAAAAAAAGGCAAAATGTGGATTTTTTTTTTTATAACGCAGTAACATTTTACTGTAGTGATGTGGAAAAGTTTCACACCATATACAATATATTCTATTCTGGTGATTTTCAGAGAGGTGAACTAAAGAAGAATGGCCTTACTACATTCTGGGTCAAATGCAGAGGTGAATTTCTCCATTGGGAGTTCAATTATTATGATGTAGTAATAGAATTAGCTCAGAATCCGGCCGCAGTGTTTTGATCTGTTCAAGGTCATTTTTAATACTGGTTTTTTTATTAGAACCGAAGTTTCGGCAGCCAACAGAGACACAGAGTCCCCAAAACATTTACAACAACAACTACCTGAGTACTGAGTAACTGTTGGATACTAAAATCTATTTTAATGTTTAGAAATCAAGACAGACTGACTTTATGTGCAAGTTCTGGTATTTGAAAGCGTCTAAGACATAAAGAACACAAATAAATGTCATGAATTAGGGCTGGGCAATTAATTGCATTTGCAATATAATCGCAATTTAGGAAAATGCAATTTTCAAATCATTAAGGGACTCAATTTTTTATTCACAATAGATTTAACAAAAATAAGACATTAAATTTTTCTGCCTCCAGCCCTTTAGGTGGCGGTAATATGATTAAAGTGGGCATGCTGTCGCACAGAAGGGATTGGAGAGTTGCAGCTAGCGCCTAGATCTATGCTTTATAGTTGATGTTAGAACTTTTACAGGCAAATGTTACAGCAAAGTCCTACAACTCTGTACAAGCAGGCTTACAAAAAACTTGAAAAAATGTCAATAAAATCACAGTATTGGTTAAAAATAATTTTTGGCAACATTGTTAAGCCCAATCATCCGTGATGGGATTAACGACGTTAAAAGTAACGGCGTTACTAATGCCGTTACCTTTTAGTAACGAGTAATCTAACTAATTACTTTGACCGTAACTATAACGCAGTTACCATCGCCGACACCCCGTTACTGCACGTTACTCAGGTCGCACAATGAACCTTTTTTTCATGATAGGACTCGTGCGCGCCTTGTCATAAGAGAGGGGAGGATGAGATCGGTTGTTACGGGTGTTAACGTACAGCACACACAGAGACATGGATAGTGTGGAGGACTACAGCAGCAAAACAGCGTTTTCCAGATGGAAATACCGGTGTTACATCGAGCTGCGTTTCCCCATCACATATGGTTTCCCCTGCATCTTCGCACAGCTCAGGTGACAGGAAATGCGCATGGTCGCTAGATACTCTGCCTTTTCAACCTACTGTATTTTTAATTTTAAACATTTGATGAGCTTGTGGCAGGGATGGAGATCCATATTTTATGTCACACACAAAGTATACATCTATATAGATCTGTGTGTATATATATATATATATATATATATATATATATATATATATATATATATATATATATATAGATAGATAGATAGATAGATAGATGTTGCAGTATCTCTAACAACCCAAACACACAGGATTACAGTATTAGACATCCCCAGTTATTAATTTCATACAATTCAATTTCATCATAAATGCATCATAGACCCGTCTTCAAAACAGGATTATTTTCTTGCCCACTACAGCTACCGGCGAATAAAATATGGCGACAGCAGGTGTTTCAGCTGAGGAATATACGCCGTGGTTTGGATTTCACGCCCAGGACATCGAACAAAAGGTGCTAATTTGTTAGATGTGCTGCAAAAACCATTGCTGCAAAAGGTAGCAGCACAAATTTATTCCACCGCATAAAAAGTCATCCGCTGCAAAATGAAGAATGTTATAAACTCTGCATGTCAGGGTCTCCCCACACACCAATTAAAACGTTCAATAAATCAGCTGTGAAGCCGATGGCGTTTGCCTCGTCGTTTGTAAAAGCGATCCTATATGAGAGAAACAGAAAGATATGGGGGGAAATCACAGACGCTATTTATGTCATTTAACTATTTTTTAGATGCTCTGATACCTGTGAGGTTTTGCAGGCGTTCTCTAAACTTTGCAATGTTCTCAAATGTATAACTTTTTGTGCGTCTTTAAAATTCCAGCAAGTAAAGATCAATGCAAATAGTTTGGAGATGCTTTTATAATGCGCTAATTTTTGGAAGGGATTTCCACTTTTTTATTTTTTTATTTTAGGTCAGTTTCTTTTTTTATTATGCATTTTTTTTCTTAATCATGTACAAAAGAGACCTTTTTTTATTTTGCATTTTATTTAGTATAAGTTTTTGCTTCTGTTTGGTTACCGGGATCTTGTTAAAGGTCGAATACTGACACCCAAAGGCATCATGTGGCAGAAAAGCTTTGAGCGGGAATCCAAAAGTTTGAATGAGTATATCATTGCAATTTTATGCACTCTATTGTTTTTAAAGTATTTTAAACATATGGTGATATATACTGTGTATCGCTATATAGCCCAAGGATATCGTCATATTAGATTTTCTTCATATGGTCCAGCTGTAATATCAGTGTCCTTCACACGTGTGTATGATCATTTTCCGTCATCATAGAAAACCAGCACAGCAAAAAAGGGAGATCAAAATAAGTCATATTTTTCTTAAAATAAATGCATTTTTAATTAAAGAGGTAAGTGAGACACTTTGCCAAAGGAAGAACACAGTTCCCATTTAAAATAAGAAAAAATCTATCTTATCTAATTATAGTATTTTAAGATTAAAAATAGTCATTCCATTGGCAAATCATCTTATTAACCTGCTTAAATGAAATAGACTTAGTTTAAGAAATGTTTACTTATTTCTAGATTGTTTAAGCAGTGAGTCTTCCTCTTCTGTGATGTCACCCTGCAGGCGTGTGGTGACCTCAGCCAATGGACCGTTCTCACATCCTCTCTGATTGATGCTCCTTGGATCGATAACATCTCCTTCATAATAGAAGCTGCTGAGAGCAAAGTGGGATTTGCTTCTCCTGCGACAAATAAGCAAGTAGGCTCCACATGCACGCTAAATCTTTGCCTTTCAGTGTTTTCATTCTGTGTGTCTTGATTTTTGGGATATGACACCAGCTGCATTAGCTCAGCAAATGAAAGTTGGTGGAGAAACTCTGAACTGCTGCGTTGTTCCAGTATGTTCATATCTACTGTTTCTAAGCTGCATCTAAGTTTTCACATAGAGGGTTTTTTATTGTCATGTCTTTTCATTGTATATAGATTGAAGTTAACATTTGAATTGTTTCAGCTTTTCAACTGATTCTGTAAATAAGAACAGTATTAATCCCACAAGTTTGCTTCCTAAATCTGCTCCATGGATTTGGTTAAAAGAAATATCCAGGTATGAGAAATAGGGCAAATAATTGCAATTTAAGGAAATGTGATTTTCAAATCACAGAGGTACTCAATTTTGATCACATTTTAGACTACAACACAACTTTTTCTCACTCCAGCACTTTAATTAGGGTAATATGTTTAAAGTGGGTTTGCTTGCAGGAAAGAAGGAACTAAAGTTCCTGCCAGCGTGCAGATCCTTGCATGCGAGTAGAAGTGAGCACTTTTCCAAACAAATAAATTTGAAATCTAGAGATGTCATTTTTTTTTTAGACTGAGCTTTTGTTCTAGAATTGAAGACTTAAGTGAGACATTTTGCCAATCGAACAGGATAATTTACACTTAAGATAAAAGGAAACAATTGAATTGTCTTATTACAAGTGCATATTATCTAAGTATTATTATTTAAGAGTAAAAATATGCATTTCATTGGCAAATAATCTTACCAAAACATGCCAAACACGACCAAAGGAACAGACTTGTTTACAAAGTTCCCCTTTTTTAAGATATTACTTTCAATTCAATTCAGTTTATTTCTATAACGCCAATTTACAACACATGTCATCTCAATATACTTTACAATTCAACCAGATCATCCAGTCAGATTGATTCAAGGTTTTCTATCTAAGGAAAACCAGCTGATTGCATCGACTCATTGACTCTTCAGCAATCCCTCACACTAAGCATGCTTGTAGCGACAGTGGAGAGGAAAAACTCCCTTTGAACAGAAAGGAACCTCCAGCAGAACCAGGCTCAGTGTGAGCGGCCATCTGCTGAGGCCCACTGGGGTTGAGGGATTTTCAATTTCACACAGTTCTAGAGTTGCGATGGGCTGAAATTTAAGCCGTTTCTTCCATCAGTCATAACGGGCAATGGGAGATCTTTGGGAACAAGTTAAATTATCTACTTTGCTGCTCAACCTCCCAAGAGTTTATCAGCTGCTGTATAAGAGAAAACAAAACTTTGGAATGTCAATAACTCCTACATTTCTGAAGTAAGACTTCCTCCTGGGTTGATAGTGATGATATTTTTGAGCTAAATCACAGTATGTCTCTAGATGTTTACATTTGCAAACCCCTGCCAGCAGGAGCTGCTGCTCACTCGCCATGTTTTCCATGCAGTTTTGTCTGCAGAGTTACAAATTTTCCTAGGTGGTCGGTGTGGAAATTCTGTCCGCACTGAGAAAAAAGTGAACTTATACTTGGTGTTTTTTACTGTGCAGGTGCTGAAGTGGTCTGACTACTGTTTCCCGTTGGCCCTCAGCCCTGGCCAGCCATTCAGAGCGGTGGCCCAGACCACTGAGGAGAACTTCACTCGTCTCGGGGTTGCATTCATCGAAGATCGCCTTCAGCTGGACAGTGGACTTGTGCCTTCCAAGATAGTCCGTAAGTATCCCTGCACTGAGTTCAGCCGTCAGCTGTGGCACTTTGTCGAAATGCAAATTTTTAGTTACATATCAGATGAGCACCTAAGTTCTGCAGATAATTTCCATGTAGAAAATAAATGAGCATATACTGAAATGACGAAACTCTATTGGAGGCAGGCCAGTAAACGCTTGTCTCCTTAGACTTAGACAACTTTTATTGTCCTTTTATTGTAATTTTGTTTTTGTACAGCTTTCAGCAGTGAATGCAGTAGCAGTGAAAAAAGGGCTGTCACGATAATCGCACGAATGAAATATCGCGATATCACTGCATCTTGGGAGAACACTTGAGAAGTATACAATGGCAGCTGCACTGACATCAAAACCAAATGTTGCTTCGCCTCCTTGGGAGCATTTCGGTTTTCAGCCAAATGAAAAGGGGGAGCCAGACAATTTAAATGAGGCAGTAAAACTCTTCAAGTAAAATGTGGAAACACAATGAATGTAAGGGCTCATCTAGCTAGCTACCACCCAACTGTTACGGCGCGGCTAACGCCGCCTCCTGCCACACAGAGTTGTGCGGTGGCTCATGTCTGTGCCAGCCGACAGCTTGGAGTCGGCAAAGTGGCAGAGACGCTGATAGACATAAACACCTAACAGCCGCTGTTACACTGTACCTGGTTGAAGAGATGGTGCCATTTTCCACCGTGGAAAAAGCATTTCCAGAAATGCTTTTCCATTTTAAGAATGTGGCTGCATTATTTGGCTCATAAATGAAATTAGTAATCAATAATCCTGTTTGCATTTTCATTTTCTTCTTTAACACTGCTCATCCTTTTACTTAATTAAAATTAAAAATAAAAGCTTTTTCATTTTCAAATTTTACATTTCAAATTGAATTGTGATATGTATTTGCTGTGGTACATTTTGAAAAATAAATGTCAAATGTCTTTTTCATTTTAATTAAGTAAAAGGATGAGTGGTGTTAAAGAAGAAAACTAAAATGCAAACAGGATTATTGATTACTAATTTCATTTATGAGTCAAACAATGCAGCCACATTCTTAAAATGAAAAAGCATTTATGGAAATGCTTTTTCATTTTAAATATGGTAACGATGTGCTTCCATATGCAGCAAGAAGATCTGGATTGGATTCTTAGCCCGGGGTCTTTCTGCATGCAGTTTGCATATTGTCCCTCAGCATTTGTGGGTTCTCTCCAAACCAACAATCCAAAAACATAATTGTTAGGTTAACTGGCTTCTCTAAATTCTCATTAGGTATTAGTGTGAGCGTGAATGGTTGTTTGTTCTGTTTGTCTCTGTGTTTTCCTATGATGGACTGGAGACCTGTCCAGGGTGGACCCCGCCTCTCACCCGTTGACATCTGGAGATAGACACCAGCACCCCTCGCCACCCCGCTTGGGTGCTTCTGTAGAAGGTGGTGAGGATGGGTGGGGGCAGGTGGGCTCTCCTCATCCTCTGCTGGAAGTACAAGTGCTTGATGTACAGCTGAGCTGTTGATGAGCAGTGGAGCATGGTTAGGACGGTTCTTCCTGAAGTCCACCATGATCTCCTTGGTCTTCTCCACCTTCAGGATCAGGCTGTTATCTCTGCACCACCAGCTGCTCCACCTCCTCTCTGTAGTCCAGGTCGTTGTCGTCTCTGATGAGGCCCACCACCGTGGTGTCGTCTGCAAACTTCACCATGTGATTGATGGTGAACCTGGGGATGCAGTCATGTGTCATGGTGAACAGCAGGGGGCTCAGGTGCAGCCCTGAGGGGAGGGGCTTAGACTCAATTCAATTCAGTTTATTTATATAGCGCCAAATTCACAACACATGTCATCTCAAGGCACTTTACAGTTCAACCAGATCATACAGTCAAATTGATACAAAGTTTTCTATCTAAGGAAAACCAGTTGATTGCATTGACTCATTGACTCAAATACAATCCCCCACACTAAGCATGCTTGTAGCGACAGTGGAGAGGAAAAACTCCCTTTTAACAGGAAGAAACCTCCAGCAGAACCAGGCTCAGTGTGAGCGGCCATCTGCCGAGGCCGACTGGGGTTCAAGGAGACAGAAACAGAGATACAAAAAGCAGCTGTAAAAGGCGGCCCCGTCCAGGAAACACACAGCCAGGCAGACGAGCTCCAAGGCAGCTCCCATGCCAGAGGACGAAGAGAGCACATCCACTCAGTCACGGCCAGAGAAACAGGACCACACTGGAAAACAGGCCGATCTCCAACATCTATAAACAAGGGTGTTGATGGAAGCAGCACAGCTGATGTTTCTTTCCAGGATGACGTCACAGCCAAACAGGAACAGACGAGGCAAAGCTACTCTGAGGAAAAGCAGAGAGAGCAGAAGGTTAGAGATTGAACTAACAGATTCTGCAGAATAGGAGAACAGAGAGAGAATGAAGCAGAATGATGAAATGGGGGTCCCTATGTCCTCCAAAAGTCTAAGCCTATAGCAGCATAACTATAGAGATAGCTCAGGATAACCTGAGCCACCCTAACTATAAGCTTTATCAAAAAGGAAAGTTTTAAGCCTAGCCTTAAAAGTAGACAGGGTGTCTGCCTCACGGACTAAAACTGGTAGTTGGTTCCACAGGAGAGGAGCCTGATAACTAAAAGATCTGCCTCCCATTCTACTTTTAGAAATTCTAGGAACCACTAGTAAACCTGCAGATTGAGAGCGAAGTGCTCTGTTAGGAACATAAGGAACAATCAGATCTCTGATATAAGATGGTGCTTGGCCATTTAAGGCTTTATATGTGAGAAGGAGGATTTTAAATTCCATTATTGATTTAACAGGAAGCCAATGAAGAGAAGCCAGGATAGGCGAGATATGATCTCTCTTTTTAATTTTCATCAGAACCCTGGCTGCAGCATTTTGGATCAGCTGAAGGCTTTTAACTACAGTTTGTGGACTTCCTGATAGTAAAGAATTACAATAGTCCAGCCTTGAAGTAACAAATGCATGGACTAGTTTCTCAGCATCACCCCTGGACAGGATATTTCTAATTTTTGCAATGTTCCTCAGATGAAAGAAGGAAATTCTAGAAACCTCTTTGATATGGGATTTAAATGACAGGTCCTGATCAAAAATAACACCAAGATTTTTTACTTTATTATCTGAAATCAGTTTAATCCCATCCAAATGAAGTGACTGGCTAATCAGTTTCTTTTTCAGAGACTCTGGTCCAAAGACTATAACTTCTGTTTTATCTGCATTCAGAAGCAGAAAGTTAAGAGTCATCCAGGTTTTTATGTCTTCAAGACATGCCTGTAATCTATGTAATGGGTTAGCTTCATCTGGATTTATAGACAGATATAGCTGGGTATCATCAGCATAACAGTGGAAATTAATCCCATGCTGTCTAATAATTCTACCAATTGGGAGCATGTATAAAGTAAAGAGAATTGGTCCTAGCACTGATCCCTGTGGTACTCCACAGGTAACCTTTGAGCGTGTTGAAGATCTATCATTAACATGAACAAACTGAATTCGATCAGATAGATAAGATTTAAACCAGTCTAGTGCTGTTCCTTTAATTCCAACAAAATATTCAAGTCTTTCTAAAAGAATATTATGGTCAACTGTATCAAATGCAGCACTAAGATCCAACAGGACGAGCACAGATACAAGTCCATTATCTGAGGCCATGAGAATATCATTAGTGACTTTCACCAGAGCTGTTTCAGTGCTATGATGAGCTCTAAAGCCAGACTGAAACTCTTCAAAAAGTTCATTATGGTGTAAGTGATCGCAAACTTGTTTGGCAACTACTTTCTCAAGAATTTTGGATAAGAAAGGAAGATTGGATATAGGTCTATAATTGACCAAGTCATCTGGGTCAAGAGACGGTTTCTTAAGCAGAGGTTTAATTACAGCAACCTTAAAAGCTTTAGGTACATATCCCTGTAACAGAGATAGATTAATCACATCTAAAATGGAGGAGGAGATCAAAGGGAATACCTCCTTAAATAACCTGGTTGGAACTGGATCTAACATACAAGTTGAAGGCTTAGATGAAGACAATAATTTTGCTAATTCAGAGAGTTCAACTGGATCAAAGCAGTCTAAACCCGGTTCAGATTCCATGACTACCTCAGGTACAATCGCGGATAGAGGAGTGCTTATGATCTTATTTTTAATAAGATCAATCTTATTTATAAAGAATCCCATAAAATCATTGCTGCTAAGAGCAGGTGGAATGGACGGTTCAACAGAGCTATGGCTCTGGGTGAGTTTGGCAACTGTATTAAAAAGAAATCTAGGATTATTCTTATTCTCCTCTACTAATGAGGAGAAGTATGCTGCTCTTGCTTTACAAAGGGTCCTCTTATACAGCAGTAAACCATTTTTCCAGACTAGGAAGGACTCTCGCAGGCCTGTGGAGCGATATTTTCTCTCCAGTTTCCTAGCATTTTGCTTCAAAGTACGCAGCTCTGCATTAAACCGACTGATGACATCAGAGGTGTTCTGTCCGACCCGGACTGACTGAGGTCTGTTGGTGAGGAAGTCTAGCAGCCAATAGCAGAGGGGTGTATTGAAGCCCAGCTGTTCCAGTTTTCCCATCAGATGCTGTGAGATGATGGTGTTGAAGCTGAACTGAAGTCCAGGAACCCCCTTTAGGTGTATTAGAGATAAATCTTTTGACTTATTGGAGCGAAAAAGCAATTGTTTTCACCAGTGATGGTGCTTTCAGCTCCTGGCTGCTTTGTCGGGCGATGGTCTCGGCTCCAGTGATGATGAAACCCAGCAGATTTTATAGCATAAAATATAATTTGGCTGCTTTTTTATAGATAACTTTCCAAGTTTCCCCTGCAGTGCTGTCCATTGGTCTGCAGATGGGAACCTAAACTTCTGCTCCCATGTTTGGTGCAGAATACTGGAGCTTTGGGCCATGGTGTGATGGTTTAGCCTCAGTACATTCATTCCTCTGTTCACACTAACCTAGTAGAGCTTCATAGAGGGTAGTTGGTATAGTTGTCTTCTTCATGTCTGATATGTTTTAGGAGATAATAAAGGATTTGGATCAGGTTTTTGTTCAGGCAGGAGGTCAGCTGCTAGAAAAGCAAATTGGATCCGGTGGACTAGTTCCAAAGTCAGATGGGATTTTCTCGTGTCACAGACTCTGCAGTAAAACAAGCAAGGAGAAATTCCTGCGTTTATTCCTGACTTCTTTTTGTTCTCATTTTTAGAGATGGGATGAAACTGGATCAAACATGTTGTGTCATGTCTTTTAGGGCCTGTTGGACCTTAAGGATGAAAAAACTAACTGTAAGCAAAATGTTACATTGATTTATCCTGCTGAGAACTGATGTTATCCTTTGTCTTCCTTTCATTTAGCAGTCCTTCTCCAAGACGGTCCTTTAACCAAAGCGTGTGACCGACGGTGTCTGCAGATCCCGCACCTGCTCCCCTCCTCTCCTCCCAAACACTTTGTCTCTGGCTCCTTCTCTCAGCTGCTGCCAGCCGACCAGCAGAACCCACAGTGCCGAAAAGGTAGTCTTCTTATTGCCCCAGAGGTAAAGAGGAAGTTAGAGGAGTGTCGGGGGTCGGAGCCTCTACCCAGCTCTCAGATTGTCCATCAGGAATACCATCATCACCACATGGAGGGCCATGGACACCCACTTCATCTCTCCAGCTGCCATGAATGTTTAGAACTTGAGAACAGCACCATCCTCTCCGTCAAATACGCCTCAGCTGAGAACATTCCAGATCTACCAGATGATCATTCGGTAGGACCGGACAGTGTAGAAGGGTGTTTTAGCGAACTTGAACATGACTTCAAGGTTTCTTCTGGGCAAAGTGGTGGATGTTCAACAGCCCCTAATGTTCTCGTGTACACGGGTGGATGCCAGGAACGCTTTCAAGCCATTCGTAAGCTTTTGTCAGACTGCATAAATGTAGAAAACAATATAATATACCCCCTCCTGCAGGAACAGGCACTAAATGACCCATGGCTGGACAATACCAGACTCCTAGTTCTGGCAGAAGAGGAACCCTTGACCCCTGAGCTTCAGACCCGCTTTCTCACATACTTATGCAACGGTGGAAAGGTACTGGGGCTGGGCTCCGCTTTGTGCCCGACGGGTCTCCATCTGGAGGTCAGGGAAGGACAATCCTTGCAGCGCCGAAGGTTGATTTTCACCAGAGAGGATAGCACAGAGCTGGAAGCAACCATTTTAACAAGTGGAAAGGTCTACATTAGAGACCCCCGGGAGGGAGGAGAAGTGGAGCTTTGGGGGGAGCTGAAAGGTGACGTCTCTCATCCGAGAGAAATGGTTATAGTTCGGCTAACGCATGGAGCAGACGGCGGGGAAGCTGTCCTCTGTCAGGTAAAGATGTGAAATTATTAACAAAGCAGTGAAACGGTCAATAAAAAGGTCAGAAGTTACAAATATTCAGTTTAGTTTATATAATTATAAAAACCCTCTGAAGGCGCTTTATAGAGGCAATTCAATCAGATCATACAGTCAGCATTTTCAGTTTATGGTCCTGGTTTTATGTAGAGCCTCCAATTGCTAAACATGTTGTCCCTTATTATACTTTAGGCTGTTCTGTCACTCAGCTTCTATATTAGTAAGGTAATAAATGCAGCTATTGCAGACAAAACAGACTGGATCCTGGACAGCTGAAGTTTTCAATATAACCTCTTGAAACCCATGGAAATGCAAATAACTCAGGAACTGTAAGTCCACATTATATGTGCGATACATCGTTTCAAAGCTAACACCTTCTTGATTCTGAAAATATCAATTAAAATAGTGTGAGTAAAACACAACCTAAGCTGCATCAGTTGAAACATGACTCAGAGTTGTGTTTTTTTATTCTAAAAAAAAAAATAGGTATTTTTTCAACAGCAGTAATAAAGACATGCTTGAGAATAGGCATGTCTCATTCTATTACATTTTTTCTACATCATGTCAACCACAACTGCAAAAAAAATTCAGACCTGTAGCTACAACAGTTCCAGAGCTGTGGGGCTTTGAACCTTCGGTGTCACCAGCATCTCCAAACAATCCAAATGTGCCAAATTGTGCCAAACGCTTTTACTCAATTATTTGACCCCATGTAACATTCACACTCAACCTAATATATCAAAAATCTATAAAAGATAGTGAAACTGCTGCTTTTCAAGCTGAAATAAGTCCCAGTGCCTTTTCTGAGCTGTATCTTGTGTTTTTTTGTTTTGTTCTTTTCAAGGAGCCATAGTGCTTCCTGGGTCTAGCTCCTTTCTAACTGCTAACACTTTTCAGACAGCACTTATGATGGTAACTTCAGATGCCCAGACGCCATAGCCCAGGTGTTTTTACCTGTTTGATATGGGATCCAACTGCTGTGTCTGCCTGTCTAATTCACATGTATTGTGTATGTGCTTGAAGTAAGGCAGTTCTGGCAGCAGATGGAGGAAGAACATCCTGTCAATCAGGACCTCTACAACTAAAACAGACATCTCTAAATTCTCAGTATTAACTCTTCTGAATAAAAGGGGATTTTCCATCCCTATCAGAGCATGTAAACAGAATGGAGCGCCGCACAATTCCTGCTCCCCGCTCAGGAGGATGTTCGCAAGTGAGATGATAGCGTATAATGCATGTATGTGATTCATTTTCAAAAACAGGCTCTTCCCACAATCAAAAGTTCAAAAACATGTTGAAGAAAAACCCCATACTTAAATCAAATAAATGCTATTTTACAAATTTAATAATCCAGCATTTTTAATTTACGTGAGCGCATCGTAGCGAACTGGAAAGAAGCAAAATCCTCGCTCCGGCCTTTGAAATGAAAACTGCTCTGCGCTAGGGCTGGCGATATGACGATTTAAGACCGTGTTACGATCTACACCTCTGACGATCTGTCATTATTAAGAGACTGTTTTATCAGGATCCACAGAACTGCAGTGCTGCTGTATTTCTACCAAAAAAAAACCTTCACAGCTAGAATATAATCCGAGGGTTTGACGTCTGTCCGTTGCTGAAGCCGCCAGTCGGCTTCAGCAGCAGCGACCGATCTCTCTCCCAAGCAGCAAACGTGACTTGCACTATATTTGCAGTTCCATAATAGTTTTTGTTTCTAAAGACTTTAGAAATTATACAAATCTGTTGTTTAATGTAATATTTTATTTTAAAACTTAAGTTAGTTTCTGTTTGCTTTCTTTTATCTTTATTAGACCAGCCAAGATTTTAAAGTAATAAAACTGCACTAAGATACAGTTAGAATTTTTATTTATTTTAACTGGAGTAACTTGACAAATGTAACTAATTTGTAATTGTTTTACTCAGGAGTTATTGCATTTTTAGGCCCCGTCCACACGAAGCCGAACCCTGGCCTAAACGCACAATTTTTTCACCAAACCAGCCTCTCATCCACACGAAGCCGGCGTTTCGGGGGTCTGTAAACAGGGCCGGTTCTAACCCTTTGGTTGCCCTAGGCGAGATTGAGTTTTGCGCCCCCCCCCCCCCCTCACTTTTGCCGTGCGAAATACCAGTACTGTTTTCAGCATCTGTTTAGTGCTTCATTGAGTTGTGTTTACAGTTCCACAAAGAGTGCTGTGCGGTGAATTGTGCCTACAGTTGTGCAAAGTGTGTGTTACAAAATTGCAAATTGAGTGCAAAGCAGTGTTTGTTCTTTTAGTTTTGTGAACTCAGTGAGTGGATTTGCTATAAGTATTAATAGTTTTAGAAATTGTGCTATAAGAATCAAGGTTGTGTTTAAGCATTCAGAAAAAAATGTAACTTAGCATGGAGTGATGCATAGACAAATACCAGAATAGGTTGCAGTACCTTTTCTTTTTTATTATTTTAAATAATTTATTACACACTCAAAGTTAGGACTGTGCAAAAACACTTTTAACCATCTGTAAGGACACTTAGGTAAAGTATAACAAAAAAACTGGATTGAATCAATGAATGAATTTATTTCAGACAATTAACAAATTTAACACACATTAAACAAATATTAAATAAATCAATTTCAGAAATGACCAAATAACAATAAAAAATAATAAATTTAAGAAATTCTTCAACCAAGGACTACATAAAAAAGTAATTGATAAACATTAAATTAAATTTTCTGTTCCAGTTCAATTAAATCATTTGAACATAAATAAAAAATGAGATAAACAAAATTTTCCTCTAAATAAAATATATCAGGTATATTTACCCTGATTTCTGACATTGATTAGTGATTAAAGAAAGGATTAACCCTCTACAAACAAAAGTGCTTTTATGAATACCATTACAAAATTAAAAGTTTGAAGTTCTTGTAGTTCTATCTATCAGTTGTTTCAGGTATTTCTATTCACCTTCAAAATTGATGCAGCATTAAAATTTGACTCGTCTGGACTTCCTAATGGCAAATTCGTTGATGGTATCATCAAATGAGATTTTATTTGAGACCTCTTGGTTGATGCTCATCAGTGCAAGCCCATTTTGATGATTATTTGTACATCCCTTTTGAATACTCAACACAGATAATCACTACAAAATATTTTATTTATATTAGTATCTTCTACCCATTCTCAAGCTAATAATATAGCACATAATTCTGCTGCATATATACTGAGAAAAAAATGATGTCAACATACAAAAAAAATGTTTGAACTGTTAAAAGAAAAAACTTGTCCTACCATTCATCTAATCTCCAGGTGTTATGCCCAAAAGTGCATGCCTGCCGAAATATGCATCCCCAGTCGCGGGAGCACGCCTCGCTCTGTTGAACTGCATATCGACGAGGAAAACGGATTAAAATATGTTCAAACGAGCTTAGGTTCTTATATTAATGATATAAAAACGTTTAAAGATACCTCTCGTGGGAAAAAAGTTGTGGTTATTTGGCAGATTAATTTACAAAAGTACGGATTTTTTGAACATTAAATCCAAAGATTTTAACCATGGTACGGCTGATTTATTTGTTGTGGTCTCTTGTTATTTACACACAACACTAAACCGTGATAGCCGATGTGAGTTTGGAGTTTGCAAAGCTTTCTCTTAAGTGGAAAATCAAACGCGCATCTACACAGCACAGCGTTCACAGACCAGTGAGATGCATAAACAAACAAAAAAAAAATACAATACAGTTCAGTAAAATACAGTTCTGTTTTATGCCTCATTCTTGTAAGTTTAAAATGTTCCAATGCTCCTGAATGCACCATAGCTTTCTGACGCGCAGCGAACGCATCTCACTGGTCTGTGAACGCTGTGCTGTGTAGATGCGCGTTTGATTTTCCACTTAAGAGAAACCTTTGCAAACTCCAAACTCACATTGGCTATCACGGTTTAGTGTTGTGTGTAAATAACAAGAGACCACAACAAATAAATCAGCCGTACCATGGTCAAAATCTTTGGATTTAATGTTGTTCAAAAAATCCGTACTTTTGTAAATTAATCTGCCAAATAACCACAACTTTTTTCCCACGAGAGGTATTTTTAAACGTTTTTATATCATTAATATAAGAACCTAAGCTCCATTGAACATATTTTAATCCATTTTCCTCGTCGATATGCAGTTCAACAGAGCGAGGCGCGCTCCCGCGACTGGGGATGCATATTTCGGCAGGCATGCACTTTTGGGCATAACACCTGTTGACGTCCAATCTCCACTCATTGTCCGACTCGCTGTTGTTCGTCCACTGCCTTCTCTTCATCTGAAACATCTGGGTCGAACATGTGAGGCTCCAGACACAAATATTCTTCCTCCGATACATCAGAATGGTCTCCTAGTAGGAATCGCTCGGTTGAAGTCGAAATTTTGCTTTCAGATTTCTCGTTTTGGCTATCGCATTTAGTGCAGTAGATCGCCATGGACGCTCCCGTTCTGACGTCACGACTTCCGGGTTGGAGGGCGCTTGAAAAGTGATCAGAATCTTTTCCGATTTTCTCTTAAATGTGAAAAAATAAATAAAAAAACGGTGGTATATTTATTTGTTCATATTTTGCTATTTATATATACGTAAGGTTAAGTCAAACTGACGGACGCTTCATAACCGGTTTAATTCGCTTTTTTTTCTAATTCTATGATTAATGGGAAGTAAGCCTAAGGGCGACGCTAGAGGGCGCCCCCAACACATTTGTCGCCCTAGGCAATTGCCTATCTCGCCTATTTGGCTGTGACTCCATATTTTAGAGAAATGTCATCTGTGCTGCTGCCATCAACACCTTTGTTTATAGACTTTGGAACTTGGCCTTTTTTCAGTCCTATTTCTCTGACTGTGACTAACTCACATCAAAGTCAAGGCCTAATTGTTTATCCATGGCCCCCTGAATGATATTATTACCATTAGAACCGGCCCACAGGCCATGGTGGCTTGTCCCTGATGCTGTGACTTCGAGGGCTATCGTTGCATTGTTGGGAATGTAGTGTTGGTGCGGTTGTGTTGCACGCACCAACACTACATTCGCAGGGGAAAACATGATTGTGTTTTTCTGATTCTGTGCCTGGTTCCTGTTGGCTCAATAATCACACTGCTGACGTTAACATCCACACTTTAATGGTCGCCATTAACAGTTTACAACATGCGCTCCCGCGCTCCTCACTCAACTCCATGAAGAAGGAAACACAGATCTAGCCCCGCCTCCCATTCCTTACATCTCATACATGCACAGTCTGCTACTTACAACTTAACAGTTCCCACCTGCCCTTCGCTCTGCAGCGTGTCCGTCTCTATCACCTGCAGGATCAGCTCCCCGCTCCTGCCATCCAGGCTCCTTTTATTTTGGCTTCAATCAGCCAATGATGACATCTGTAGTCTTTTTGATTCTTCTGTCCTTTTTGGTCTTGCTGTGCTTTTAGTTTAATACATTCCTTTTTAAAAAAAAACAACCTCTGGTTGAATTCGAGGTCTGCTGCCGTGATTCATCACAAAATTTGTATATTTCTTTGTACAAGACCTGATAAGAGCCATAAGAGCTACTATTTGAAAGCAGTGATCGTAAGATCATAGAGCAGCACAGTAATGCATTTTCAGTTTATAATTCATGCACTTTTTTATCTATTTATCTTATTAAGTTTATTAATATAATAAAAGTTTGTTAATAATATTGATATTAATGTTTTGTTTATAAAAAACATTCTTATAAAAAACATTCTTATATAGACGGAGACAGAGATGGTCAGTGGCGGTTCTACTCCCCGGTGAGACCCACTCCAAGCACCAGTTAGTTTTTTTTTTTAAGCACGCATCCCGCCCTCCTTTATTAAAATGCTGCCCGGTTCGCCCGTGCAGTGTTGCCAACTCAGCCACTTTGTCGCTATATTTAGCCACTTTTATGACCCCTCCAGCGACTCTTTTTCAAAAAAGCGACTAGCGACTTTTCTGGTGTCACTGGCGGCTTTAAGAGACTCTTAGCTGAAAGCACGTGTCATACCTACTCTTGCGTCCAGCGGCAGGTGCTGCCGTGGGGCGCCTCCCCCGTCCCAACCCCGTTCTCTTACTTCTGCAGGAGTCCCTCTCTGCAGTGCAGTCAGAGCCACAGCAGGTTTACCCTCGGGCGGGAGCGAACGGGATGTAAATGTAAAATGTTATTTGGTCTAAAATGCAAGGCGACAGTGGCGTTGGATGTAGGAGTTTGCCCTGAAATTGAAGGATTGACGGTTCAAGCCCCGACTCCCGATTTTCAGTGTCATTGTGTCCTTGGGCAAGACACTTCACCTGCATTGTCTACTGATGGTGGTCAGAGGGCCCGGTGGCGCCAGTGTACTGCAGCCCCGCTTCTGTCAGTGAGCCCCAGAGCAGCTGTGGCTACAATGTAGCTTGCCACCATCAGTGTGTGCGTGAATGGGTGAATTAATGTAGTATAAAGCGCTTTGGTCAAGGCTCCTGATTTGAATAAAGGCGCTATATAAGTACATGCCATTTAAAATAAATAACTGAATTTGAAATGTTTTATCTTAAATAACGGTATTTGATTCACACAGCAACAGTCACCCTAATCAACTTGTCCATTGTGTTTTCCTCTCTAAGATGATGATTTGTCGGCTCCTTAGGGGACCACAAGGGAAAAGTGAAAAAGTAAAAAAAAAAAAAAAGTGGCCTCAAAAATGCACTTAAAGGGGAACACCGTTTTTTTCACATTGGCCCCTTGATTTTACGTTATTCCATCATGTTCTACTCACCCATATTAGTTTAGTGTCATTTGGAGCCGTTCTGAAGATATTCCGTTACGTACGTCTTCCTATGGGCAACGACTTGAAGGCACAAACTAAACTGTTCATCATTTATTCTTTATGGTACGCCAGCATTCAGAACATGTAGTCCAATCACTGTCCCCCAGACATCCACGGTTATATTTTTTATATTTATATTTTTTAAAACAAAGCGGAGTGTGTATTACAGGCAGCCGGGCCACAGGCGGCTACGCTCTACCCCTTCTATTCATTCTAGCTAATCTGAATCATTTAATTCCATCTGGAGAGCGAGATCATCTGTGGTAGCAGCACTAGACATCTTCCAGGCATGTGAGGAAAACTAGCAGCAGTTCAGCGGACAGGATGAATGAACGGTAACCGGCAGCGCAGAGTCGATGCAACCAGCTGATTTTCTTTAGTTAGAAAACTTTGAACAAATCTGACTGGATGATCTGGTTAAACTGTCTCTGTAAAGTGACCTGAGATGACATGATGTGAATTGGCGCTATAAGAAATAAATGAATTGAATTGAACCTGATGACTGTTTTAGTGAGCCGGTTTATTAATGCGCATGTTTGTTTCTCTAGGTTTATTTTGACATTGCATCACACTCAAACAACCTCAATTCAAGTGATTTTGATGAGCTGAAGGTCAGCAATGAGCTGCGCTATGAAATCCTGACTGAGATCCTGAACTCACTGGGTGTGAACTGTGAAGCGCGACCGACTCCTGCCCCGGGTCCTGTCTACCTGTTGGCCACCTCTCAGGTGAGTTCCAGAAACCTTCTTTTTCATCATGAAATCGCAACATGTGCCCTGCATCTTTAGTTTCAGAGTTCATTTCAACTCTGAGTTTTGTGCAGATTAATTATTATTTGTGCCTGGGTCTAAATTTTCCTGTGTTCAGTCAAAAAATGGATCAGAGGGAAATAAAACAGAAGAGAATCCCTTTAGTTTTACTTTAATGTCCATTTGTTCTCCTTTCCTCCCCTTCACCTCCTGAAACAGAAATAGATAATTCATTGCTCAGATTTTCCTCATAGTTCACATATGGAAACAATCTGACTTGCTAAGCTCATGCAAATGTCTGCAGAGGGCTGACAGCAGGTCTGTGCACAAAGGGCTTAAATAAACAGGAGAGGGCAGTGAGCTAAATCGTCATCAGCCGTGTTATACATGCATTTCCTCCTTGTTCATTTTAATCTAAACTCCTTTTTCTTTTGTTTTTAACCTCACTTTGTGACTGTCATTAAATGTGGCAATAAAGACCGGAACCATTTCTCAGTCCTTCTTTAAATTTTCAGTTCTTTGTGAGGTAATAGATAAGTTTAAAGCTGCTTTGACCTGAAATCTGATTTCTTACATTATTCAGCAGGAAAAAAAAGCTGTTTGCTTCTGAAAAAATCTGGGCAATATGCTTAATGGATCAGTTTGAAGTTTTTTAAAATGATTTGAGCATTGAGTTTTTCTGCCAGCCTGTCACATGCTGCATCGGCACCGTTCACTGGAATGTTGCCAGAATCCTATTGTGCATCAATTGGAGCTTAAAGAATTAATCGGATCAATCGATTATTGGAATAAAAGCAAACTAATTAATAATTGATTAATCCCTAACTAAAGTATAGAGACTTTAATACATGCCTTTTGCTGACAGAGCAACCCACTTAGAGCAGGAATTATGCCGAAATTGTAAAAGAAAATCTGTAAACATTTTGCATTTAAGTAAAAAAAAAAAAAAAAAAAAAAAGAGTTTAAAAGTTTGTTTCACCTGGTTTAATTTAGTAAAAAGTCTTCTTTAAAGAATATTTGGTTATCCGATTATGAATCGATTAATTGAAAAAATAAATCAACATATTAATCCGTTTTCCGTCATTTTTATCCCTGCTGGGGTGGCGAGGGGTGCTGGTGCCTATTTTTAGCTGTCTACGGGGTCCACCCTGGACAGGTCACCAGTCTATCTCTGGGTAACACGTTTATTAATTAACTATTAATTAACTATTCATTTTAGATGTCTGCAGCTTCTCGTGGCAGTAAAGAAAATAAAGCCCTTTTATTATCAGTCTTCAAACAGAAATCACATCATTCACCTTGTAAAGAGGCTAAAGATGGACAGATGGAGCAATTTATACTCTTGTGTTCCACGTTTCACACAGGAGCGCAAAGCAAGTTTCTTGAAGGTGCTACAAAAGCGGGCAGATGAAGACGGGATCATTCGATTCTCCAAAGCCTCCTTCAGAATGGTGCCCAGCACCGGCCCATGTGAAGGTCCTGTGGTGCCCGAGGACTGCCTGTCTTTGATCACGGAATCCGAGGACACCAAACAGTTTATGGAGACCTACTGCAAACAGCTGAGGACCAAAGAGCTGGGAAACACAGTGCTCTACGCTGAGGTCGCCACTTCCACCATGAACCTACTTGAAGGGTAAGATCAGGTTGGTTTTTTTTCTATCTTTTCTGCTCAGACCAGCAGCTTCTTTTTAATTTTTTTGCAATGACGTGACGTACCAAGCAAGCAAACCAGTGTAAACGAAGCTTTGACGAACTCAGGAGAGTTTTACCGACAACGTAACCTAATCAGCAAACCTTACAGAAAGACAATCAGTGGTGGAAAGTAACAAAGTACATTTACTTGGTTACTGTGCTTAAGTACTTTTTTGAGTTTTTTTACTTGATTCATTTTTAAGGGTATTTATAACTTTCACTTCTCTACATTTCCAGGAAGCTACTAGTCCCTTGTTCCTTTAAGCTTAGCTTAGCTTTGTAATCCCCTGTTGCTGTTTTTCTTTCTTGAAATGCATATCCCCACCAAAATTCTCAGTTTTAGGGCATCCATGCATAAGAAATATGAAAACATTATGTTTAAAAGTTCCCTTTTCGTTCATATTTCAATCCGTTTTCTCATCCGTATGCGAGAGGGGAGGTAATTCTCGGCAGCCAGGTATTTTTCGGCATAGGGTTAGGCAGTGGTGTAGTCCAGGGTATAGGCAGGTATACGACGTATACCCACTTATTTTTCAATCTGCGTTGCGTATACCCACTTCTAAATCCCCCATGGACTGCATTATTAAGCAGAATCACCGAGCCAAATTTCCCATTTTTTTCACCATATCCTTTAAGCAGATGAAGACTGAGCTGGTTTTATGTCAAAAAGGGTAAAATGGATCACACAAGGTTATTCACAGTTAAAGATTAACCCAGAAATGGCTGTTATGACAGCAAAAACCTAAGAACATAAAGTCAGGGGTTAAACTAACAAATACTTCAGAATGGGAGAATACAGATACAATTAAGCTGAATGATAAAAAGTGGTCCCTATGTCCTCCAGCAGCATAAACCTATAGCAGCATAACTAAAGAAATAGCTCAACCTGAGTCACTCTAACTAATCCAATTCTATTCACTTTATTTACATAGCACCAATTCACAACTCGTTATCTCAATTCAGAGACAATTCAACCAGATCATACAGTCAGATTGGTAAAAAGTTTTCCAACTAAGAAACACCAGCTGATCGTATCAAGTCATTGAATCAACAGCAATTCCTCACATTGAGCATACTTGCATTTCTAAGCCTTGCCTTAAAAGTAGACAGGGTGTCTGCCTCACCGACTAAAACTGGTAGTTGGTTCCACAGGAGAAGAGCCTGATAACTAAAAGATCTGCCTCCCATTCTATTTTTAGAAATTCTAAGATCAACAGATAATGTGGATCAGCTCATGTTTTTGTGGGAAGCAATAATGATTAATTGATTATTGAAATAATCATCAACTAATTTAGTAATCGATAAATCATTAATTGAAGCATATACCAGTAGCTGTCAGAGCGACCCACTAAATTGTAAAAAAAAAAAAATGCTAACATTTTGCATCAAAAAAAAAACTTCTTCAGCTGTCAACATTATCTATCCAGAACTCCTCAAGAGGAAAGGTTTAGTTTCACCTGGTTTAATTTGGCAAAAAGTGTTTGGCTATCCGATTATCGATCGATCATCTAAAAGAGTATTGACAAATTAATTGATTTGTTTAATCAGTGGTTGCAACCCTAGTCTAGATACTAGACTTTGCAGTAATGTTATTATCATTTGTAGTATTTCATTAAAAATAAGTCAATGACAAAGAGTCTATCCCCAATTCAAAGATCAGCTCTATATGTCCTATAATAGTTGTGATTCCTTCCCCAGATTCCCACTCCCACAGGTAGGATATACTCACAGGAATCTAGCCCCTGTTTTGCTGTTTAACTGTGTCTGTGTTTTAATAGACTGCTGAAGGAGGGTGGGCAGGCTGGAACTGATTTATTGCCTGAGTGACCTTACCACAGCAATGGAAGTTGCTTCTAGCCGTCTTTGTTTGCATCCACACACGTGTGGGAAAGTGGTGTCTGAGTGGGTCAATCGGGCTGCAGGTGGCACCAATTAAAACTGTCAGAAAGTTTGAAAAATGGGCTCTGGAGCAGCACTGGGTTGATTGGAACAGACATAGCTGTCATTGAGGTTACAGGAAAACCAAAGCTCAGTCAATGAGTACAGCAAATAAGGCTGGATCTGTTGGTGCCATTTAAATTCACTGACAGTGTTAAAGATTCCAGATGTCCGTCCAGAGCTGCCCTTGATTAATGTTATTATTAGGAATGTCTGCTTTATGTCTTCCAGCATTTGCAGGGATGTATTCATAACATTGTGTATTTTCAGGCCGTACCTCTTATTTTTGCAGAGGTACAGCTTTGAAAAGACCTACGCTGGACTCCTAAAGTCAAAGTAAATGTAGTATTTAACAAATATTTAGTTAAAGAATCCCTAAACAGCTTGTGAAGATTGTATAACTCAGTTTAAAGCTTTTTAAAAGCACACTTCTTATACATAGGTGGGCCATTTTAACAGATGTACTTTACTTGATCAACGTTTTCCATCCCAGTTACATTAAATGACTGGATTCTACAAGAAGAGGTGTGCTGTTGCAGAGGGATTGCTGATTTAGGTTTAATATGAGCGCCACATACAGATTGTTGATAGTCTTCCTCTCAGGTATGTAGTCCTGCTCTGGATTTTGTCTGGTTTTAAAAAGAGAAGCAAAACCATGTAGAAAGTTAATGAATCAAAGAGCACATGTGACTTTATACGTTTCTGGAGAACTCGCATAATGATTAGCTTAAAGAAAACAGCAGTGGAATCATGGAGAATTAGTTCCCTGTATTTGCAAAGCCTTCCTTAATATTTACCACAAAATATGCAGTGCTACTAATTTAGTAGAAGTTCAATATAGGCTCGTGTAACATTCAATTAAAATAAAAAATACTTTATTCACCAAAAGTCTGGCAAAGCTGGTAGGGTCCTATTTGGGATGACTTTATATTTGACTGCATTATAGATTTACGGCAGTGTGAAATAAGATATGTGAGAAATTCCTGAGCGGGAACATTTCCACCAACCTTTAAGTTCTCTTGAAAAGTTGAGACAAAGCTGCATGCAGAACGTTTATCTGCAGGACTCTGAGGTAAACCCAGCAGGAAGCAAGCACAGAATTTCACATAGATGTCATTGACAGCTAACCGACCATGCAAGCAGGCTGCAACAACCTGATCTACACAAAGATTGCTGTGTGGATTAAAAAACAAAGGGCACAGCCATGTTACTCTATTAAATATATAGGGTAATTACAGGCAGCCTCACATTTCAGCCCTTCTTTTTTGTCTGTTGATTGGTCATTGCTGAAATACAGATTTGTTTCTCTGAATGTGATCTTAAAACTTACAAGAAGCAAATATGTAGTGCTTTTTCACATTAACACACGCATTGTAGCCAGATCTGCCTTACATGGGCGCTAGGGGTGTAAATAATAATCATTTTGTATCGATGCATCGATCCAACAGCCTACGATCCGATGCATCGACACGTCCGCAAGAGTATCGATTCATGTGTTTTTTTTCCCCCTCTGGTCTATTTTTATCCATTTGCTCCTGGACGTAATTCTCCTCCCGTGCTGCGGTGGCGCTAAACCTATTTTGCCCTCCTACCTCGCTTCCTGGTTATACTCTTACAGCAGTTTGTTGCAGTAAGCTTGACACAGACATTTCTTATTTATGCTCAGTATTTAAAGGGATAGTTCGGGATTTTTGACATGAATCTGTATGACATCCCCATCACCAGTGTCATGCAATCACACTGACTTACCCCTGGCAGCATCCTGTGAGCAGAGTTCTCGTCCAGCTTTGGTCAAGCCAAAAGTAGTCCGGCAGGTTTGCTAGACCCAGCGAAATAAAACGTTTCTCTTCCCAAAACATTATGTGTTCAAAAGAGTGATATTTTTGCATCCCAAAAACATTGTAGTGGAAAAAGTCACACGTCGTTATCACTTGGTCCTATTTTCTCTCTGTTCGTATCAGTGCGCGCCGTCATTCTGACAGCGAGCTCAACTTTGAGGAGGGCAGGGAAGTCGCTGTTGTTTGTGATGCAGACAGCAGCTGCTGCAACTCCGACATCCTCATCAATGGAAAGGTTCTGTATCTCGGGCATTACTAAATCCCACTCGTGGCAACAGTAGCATCCACCTCTGTCTGCATTAATTCGCACTTGAAACAAGTGCACCATGATTTGTCGGCCACCCTGGATATCGCAGCTCCAGCTGAGGCTCCTGCGGCTCCGGCTTCAGCTTCCATCACTTCTCTGTCCACCCTCTCTCTTTCTGCCCGATCTAACTCCATTTGTCGAAGTTCATCGTCAGTGTACTCGGGTTCATAAAGATATCCCTTTGGCTCTAAGTGGAAGTCGATGTTTTCCTCGTCGCTCTCGTAGTCAGACATCTTCCCCAGTAGTAAACAATCGCGAATCAAACAGGTAGGCCCTTAACCTGACAACAGCCAGATGCATGCCTCGCTCCGCCCAGCTAGAAGCTAGGCGGAGCGAGACATGCATCTGGCTGTTGTCAGGTTAGTAGGCCCTAGCTGTCAGGTCATGGTGTTGCGCGCACTGATACGAACAGAGAGAAAATAGGACCAAGTGATAACGACGTGTGACTTTTTCCACTACAATGTTTTTGGGATGCAAAAATATCACTCTTTTGAACACATAATGTTTTGGGAAGAGAAACGTTTTATTTCGCTGGGTCTAACAAACCTGCTGGACTACTTTCGGCTTGACCAAAGCTGGACGAGAACTCTGCTCACAGGATGCTGCCAGGGGTAAGTCAGTGTGATTGCATGACACTGGTGATGGGGATGCCATACAGATTCATGTCAAAAATCCCGAACTATCCCTTTAAGCGTGGTCTGTGCTACACACTGTGGGTCTAGATACGGCCGAGGTGGCGAGGAAGTGGGGACGAGTTTAGTCCGACGACGGAGGGACATGAGGGCCAAAAAGAGCGGAGATCAAGGTGAAAAAAAGGGTCCCAGCGTTCTCGCGCACCTCGCTCTTATAGTGGGTCAA